GCGTAAAAGGTGATCCTGGAAAAGTTTATCCTCATGCATTGTTGGCAAATGCAAGTAACGGCAACAGTCAAACTCAAAAGATAGTACCTTCACAAAGATGCAGTGTGTGTAATTTGTCACATTTGGTTTATAATTGCCCTAATTTTCGCAATAACACTCCCAAAGAGAGATTTTCGATTTGCAAGCAAAACAGAATGTGCATCAATTGTCTGAGTTCGGCTCATAACTTACAGAAGTGCAAATCTACCTCGGTTTGTCGCATCTGTCGTTTGTGCCATCATACTTTACTGCATTTTGATTCAGCCAAGAGTCCAAACTCCGCAGATTCACAAACTAATTCATCTAGTTCAGTTCAATCGCCCCCTGATAACCAAATACCCTCATTGTTTAGCCCAAATTCAAGTTCTTCGCCGACTATGAATTCGTGTGTTGGAGCTGTAAATCCAAATTCAGTCGTTCTATTGGCAACCGCGCTAGTTAATGTCTTGGATTCCCAAGGCAACCCGCATTCCGTTAGAGTTTTGCTGGATAGTGCCAGTCAGGCAAATTTTATCTCAAAAAGGTGTTTCAACCGCTTAGGTTTGACTTCCTCAAAACTCAATATACCTATTAAAGGTATTGGCGAAATGTCTTCTCTTGTATCACAAGGTGTGACGCTATTCTCGATCGGTCCTCCTATCAACAATAAGTTGTTAGTCAATTTAGAAGCTATTATCCTACCCAAAGTATGTTCTGACATGCCAACCGCATTCTTTAAAACCGATTCTTGGGATCACATCAACAATTTGAAGTTAGCTGATCCATCGTTTAACGCTCCAGGTAGTATCGACATGTTACTGGGAGCTTCAGTTTTTCCTCATATTTGGTTGCCTGGAAAAATCGATGGAGGTGGAAGATCTCCAGTTGCCCTCAACACAATTTTTGGCTGGGTGCTGATGGGAAAAATCAATTTTCAAACTCCAACTCCACTTTATACTTTCTCAGCGCTTGTTGAAAATGATGATCTTACAACAAAGTTGCAACAATTCTGGGAAATTGAAGAAGTTCCTCAAGCTAGCACTCTCTCCTCTGATGACCTCTTGGCCGAAAGTTCGTTTGTGAATACGCACCGTCGCACGTCCCATGGACAGTTTATTGTTTCCCTGCCATTCAAAAATGGTGAACCGCTTCTTTCTGATTCACGTTCCATTGCTTTACGTCGATTCTATAGCCTAGAACGGAGATTACAAAGTAATCCCCAAACTTACAAGGCCTATTGCGATTTTATGCATGAGTATTTGTCCCTGGGACACATGAAAATCGCAACTGTCCTACCCGCTCAAGATCGTCCCGAAAAAATGTATTATATTCCTCATCGCAGCGTAATAAATCCTAATTCTTCTACCACCAAGCTTCGTGTGGTCTTTGACGCATCCGCAAAAAATACAGAAGGCGAGTCCCTAAACGCAACGCTTTTACCCGGTCCTAAGCTCCAGAAGGACATCACTGCTATTCTTTTAAATTTTCGACGCTACTCGGTTGTCTTCACTGCTGACATCAAGATGATGTACCGCCAAATTTGGGTTGATTCATGTCATTGGGATTATCAACGCATTATTTGGCGATTTAGCCCTTCAGATCCCATTCAGGATTTTGTTCTGAAGACGGTAACTTATGGAGTATCTAGTGCGCCATTTCTTGCATTACGATGTCTTCTTGAGTTGGCGCAAAATTATTCCGAGGATTTTCCTAGGGCATCAAAAGTTCTTCTTAATCAAACTTTCGTGGATGATGTCGTTGATGGAGCGAATTCATTAAGTGAAGCCATCCTTATCAAGAACGAACTAATCCAGCTCTTAAAGTTGGGAGGCTTCGATTTGAGAAAATGGTCTAGTAACGACTTGGAATTTTTATCAACTATACCTTCTGATATTCACCAAACATTGACATCTATTTCAATGGATGACACGGATTCCTATTTCAAGGTTTTAGGACTTCGTTGGTATCCCCACCTCGATAAATTTTCTTACGAAATAAAAGTTTTAAAATCAGAATGCTCTAAACGGTCCATACTTTCGGAAATTGCTCGCATTTTTGACCCTCTAGGTTTCCTTGCCCCTGTTACATTCGCCCTTAAATTATTGATGCAAAATCTCTGGGTCCAAGGACTCACCTGGGATGATGTGGCTCCCTCTGATATCGCGAAAACATGGAAAAAATATAAGGCCGATCTTCCCCGTTTGTCAAATTTACGCATTCCTAGACATTGTTTTCTTTCCTCATATGTCTCGATTGAGCTCCACGGTTTTGGAGATGCCTCCAGCCTAGGATATTCAGCGTGTATCTATTCACGTTTGGTTTGCTCTAACCAAAAAATTTCTACTTTCCTTGTTTATGCAAAAAGCAAAGTTGCTCCGTTAAAACGTATTTCACTTCCTAGACTCGAACTTTGTGCGTCTTTGTTGGCCGCAAAATTACTTAAATTTGTCTTGGCCACTTACTCAGACGTTAACTTTACGCGGATTTACGCTTGGTCGGATTCTATGGTCTCACTCGCTTGGATTCGCTCGCCGGCATTTCGATGGAAAACTTTCGTAGCCAATCGAGTCAGCCAAATCCAGGATATCGTGCCTCCTGAAAACTGGAACCACGTTGCCTCGGAATTTAACCCCGCCGACTGCGCTACTCGGGTCATGTTACCCTCTGAATTGTGTGACGCTTCTTTGTGGTGGCACGGTCCCGCATGGTTACTGTTGCCGCAGGAAGTGTGGCCTGCATCAAAGTTTGAACCCGATTCAAAGCCGCAACCGGAAGTTCTCGCCGAAGAAGGAAAATTAGTATGTGCTATCACTACGGAAATTGATGGTGTTTCCAGGCTTTTAGGTGAACGTTCTTCGCTCCCAACCATTTTAAGGATATTCTCGTACTGCCTTCGGGTGATCCAAAAAATGCGTCATGAACCCACTATTTCGACTAATACTTTCACAGATGTTGAATTGCATAATTCCCTAATGACGCTAGTGAAATATATTCAAGGGATGGTGTTTAGTGAGGATATTGACAATCTGTCAAAGGGTCGTCGCTGTTCAAATCAGCTTAAAAAACTTTCCCCTTTTCTAGATCAACTTGGTATTCTCAGGGTGGGCGGTCGTTTAGTTCATTCCAAACTTGCATTTGAACAAAAACACCCTGCCTTATTACCAGCTCAACACAGATTGACCGATCTTATAATTCAGGACTTTCATGAAAAATTTCTCCATTGTGGAAAACAAACGTTGAACTACTTAATTTTACAACATTTTTGGATTCTATCTGCGAAACGAGCAATCACTCGAGTAACTTCTGATTGCTTAAAATGTTTCCGAGTAAACCCTCCAATCATGCAACCCAAAATGGGTGATTTACCCTCCTTTAGGGTCACTCAGATAAAACCCTTTCAATGTTCCGCTGTCGACTTTGGCGGTCCCTTTTTTATTACCCTCACTCGAGCTCGAGGTGCCAAATCTCAAAAGGCCTATTTATGTCTGTTCGTATGCTGCGCGACAAAGGCACTTCATCTCGAACTTGCCTCAGATCTGACCACCTCTGCTTTTCTTGCTGCCTTGAGACGATTTCTAAGTCGACGTGGTAGAGTTTCGGTGATTCATAGTGACTGTGGCACCAACTTTGTTGGCGCCGCTAAATACCTCCATGAAGTGTTTGCCGAAGCTGCCCATGAAGAAAAAATTGATTGGCGCTTTAACCCCCCTGCTGGACCTCACTTTGGAGGATTATGGGAAGCTGGTATCAAAAGTGTCAAATTTCATCTGGTCCGTCTTATCGGTGACCAAATCCTCTCGTACGAGGAACTGTACACAGTGCTCACCCAAGTCGAAGCGGTCTTGAATTCCCGTCCGCTTTCTGCGTTAAGTACGGATCCCAATGACCTCTCGAGTTTGACCCCGGGTCATTTTTTAACTCTGGCTCCATTATCTACTATCCCTGATCCCGATTTGTCCGCCATAAGCTTAAATCGTTTGAGTAGATGGCAACTACTTCAACATTTTCACCAACAATTCTGGAAACGTTGGCACCGCGAGTACTTACATACTCTGCAACAGCGCAACAAATGGTTTCATACTAATCCAAGCCCAATTAAGGTTGGAACTTTAGTAGTCCTAAGAGATGAACTCACTCCACCCCTAAAATGGCGACTTGGACGCATAACTGAAACTCATCCTGGTCCTGACGGTATTATCCGGGTTGTAACCCTTAAGACAACCCATGGAGTTCTTAAACGGCCGGTTAATAAAGTGTCTATGTTGCCATCCCAATAGGTAACTTAGATGATATTGTATATAGCTAAATACCTCTAGTTAATTTTATTTTAATTTTAATTTAACAAAAGAATTTTTTATTTTTTTTTTGTTTTTGTTCTTGGGACTCTATAGTGCCAAATTGGCTTGAAAAAAGAAACAAGAAAAAAAAACACTTGCATGTTTTTGGTGGGCGGTAATGTTTCGTCTTTATTCTAAATAAATTTTATACAATTTGGCAAAGGTGCAAAATTCCTGTTTGCTCGCATTTTTTTGTTTTGTTTCGCGCAAAAAAAGTCGTACCTCTAGATTTTGATAGTGGACGTACCAGAAGCGAGTAATTGGACAGAATTGCTAAGAAACTCGATGAGACGACACGGGCGCGTCGTCGTACGGCTTAACCCGGTCGCAATATTTCTAATCTCAAAACTTCATTGTGAAGTCCTCTCGTATCAACCTTCTACAAAGTTACATAACCCGTAATTGGGAACACCATAATCCGCAGCGCGTGTGTAAAGCAGGGTCCCTGCAGGAGTGCACTTATGGAATCATTGGGTAAGTCCCTTTTATCATTATTTAGAGGTTGCGCCGCAAAGTAAATACAGTCCACTACCAGCTAAGACATTACGTATTAGCTACCCGCAAAACAACTTTTTCTCTAGAGAAAATAAGTAAAATGAGATGCTCGATCTGGTGAAGTATTACAAGGTTAATAGGTATATTTTCTTTGAAATGCCCAGGCCTGGTTAGATGCGATGCGGGAAATATTAAATGAATAAATTTATTTGCTCAAATTAATAGGAGAATATTGTTATTTAAAATCATCCCTTGAATTGTTTCGAAAAGCATGATTTTCCAGCCAGTCTAGCGGTATCGCCGGTTGGATTGTCGGAGGAGTTTGGTTTGATGGCGGTGAGTTTGGTTAGTATAATTTTTCTCATTTCTTTATGCGCTTTATACCTATTTTTTGAAATTTAATGTAATGTTTTTTTCGTTGAAACGCGTGTATTCCGCAATTTTTTCTTTTCAAAAAAATACTATTAGAACCAGAACTTACGTCTAAAAATTGTTTTTTCCTTTAATTGGTGGGACGCTATATGACACAAGACCCCCATTATTATTATAAACCATATAATATGCTACTTTTGCAACTACATGAATCTGATAGAACTTGTAGGGTATCTTTCAAATGTGTAGGATATGTAGTTCCTATTTTTTTCAGATGGAAGCATTATAATTGCACCTTTAGATGAAGAGATAAAAAATATGTTTTTTCCATGTCAAGCCACACAGCAGTCAACTTCAATGCATAAGAGCAGTGGAACTCGAACATGGACTCGATCTGACATTCTAGCATTAATAGATGCAGTGAAAAACCATCAGGAAAAATTCAAGTCCAGTACAATGAAAAATGACGCTGTTTGGAAAATTATTTCTGCTACATTGGAAAAAAAAGGAAAATGTTTCACAGCGACTCAGTGTAAAGACAAATATAAGTATCTCAAAGGAAAATATATGAAAAAAAAAGATAATATGAGTGACAGATCCAGTGGTGCGGAATTTATAAAATTTGAATATTTCCACGAAATGGACGAATTTTTGGGAACGTCCCATAATGCAAACCCTATTGCCTTGGCTTCTAACATCAAAAAGCACCAAGGTAAATATACGACTGGGGAATTGTAAAACAATTACATTGTCATCTATCACTACATAGATGTATATAGGATGGAATTCTTAAATCAAATAAATTCAGTATTGGAAAGCCTGTTTATTTGCTGAAAAAATTAAAAAAAAAACGGGTCCCTTTATTTGTAATTTAGCACATTTTTTCGACCTTCTCATGGAATTTACCCCTTTTATAAGGGTTTCAACTTTTTTATCAAATGTAAAGGCATGTATTGTGATAGCTCGTTGGAATGGGCATAAAAAAAGGAATATGACACATTATTTACTTTTGCATTTCGGATTTCGGTGATCTAGGAAGCTAGAAAATATTCAAAAAATATCTTTTCACAAAATTTTTTTTACTGTTAAAATTGTTGAATATCTTCAGGATTTTTTCTTGGTAGAACGCCCCCTTTGTTATGTTATGTAATAATTTGGTGCCTTACACTCAGATTGTCAAAATTAAATAGTGTACTAACGTCAGAATTTATTACATAACATTACAAATGGGGCTTTTTTTCACATTAGGGTTCTACCAAGAAAAAATTCTGAAGATATTCAACAATTTTAACAGTAGAAAAAATTGTGTGAAAAAATATTTTTTGATTATTTTCTCGCTTCCTAGATCACCGAAATGCAAAAGTAAATAATGAGTCATATTCCTTTTTTTATGCCAATTCCAACGAGCTATCACAATACATGCCTTCACATTTAAAAAAAAAAAGTTGGGGGGGTTTCTACCCTTATAAAAGGGGTAAATTCCATGAGAAGGTCGAAAAACTGTGCCAAATTAAAAATAAAGGGACCCGTTTTTTTAATTTTGTTCAGCAAATAAACAGGCTTTCCAATACTGAATTTATTCCATTTAAGAATTCCACCTGTATAGTAAGGTGTTCACTTGACAGAATTTGCCGCAGGTAGAGGTAAAGAACAATAATTATCGAAAGTACTGTAAACTGTCCACCTGCGATAGATGCTCTCGAGAGTATTAAGTAGCATTCGACAGTTTTTCTGTTAAGTAAATACTTTTACTTTTAACTTGCCATAAAGCTGAAATCAGAAAGTCATTCCTTTCAACCACCCCATATAATTATATTGCGGAATCTGCATATTACCGCTTATATTACCAAAACGAAACATTCCAAAATTTTAATGTATATTTCAGTCCCAGACACAGAAGAACGCAAGATGTTAGACAGTGATGATAATGACACTGATACATCGGAGCCTAGTTTGAAGAAGAAAAAAATTGCCACTAAGCGAAAATTGCCAGAAAAGGAGAGTCCCCTTCAGAAATATGTCAAAGAGTTACATGAAAATACAAATAAAAGAGAAGATAATATGGAAAGACGCCATAAAGAAAATGTGGAATCACGCAAAGAAGCATTAAATGTCTTTGCTCAAAAAATGGATGCTATTATATCAATAATGGCTAATAAAAACAAGCAATAGAGATAATAAAAAAAATTACAATTTTTTTTGTTATTTTGTTCAAAAGTTTATTTGTTGTGTGGTTACCAAAAAAAATGAATATTTTTAATTTTATTCAAGTTGTGTAATTCCACTAGAATTACATTTTTATTATTTTGTTTAAAAGTTTATTTGTTTAGTTATTGGTTATCGTTACCAAAAATAATGTTTATTTTTGTAAGTTCCATTTGATTTAATTTGTCTCCATAAGGTATAGTATTTCCAAAGTCAGTTGGAACAAGGTAACAACTGGTAGCTGATTGAATATTTTCATAAGAAATGCACTGCCACTAGTCAGCTACCAGTGATGATTTATGTTTACCTTGTTCCAATTGACTTTGGAAATACTATACCTATTCTGGCTGTCAAACTTAAATAAATATTAATTTAAAACGAGATTTGACATGAATAAGTACATGTAGTTCAGATTTAATGAAATTTATTTATACCTCTACTCTCGACCCAAACTTAATGTCTAAAAGCCAATAAATGTTCATTATAAATAAATAGTATAAACAATAGTATATTACGATAAAAGTGGTAATTCTAAACATTTGTGGAACGTATCCCCAGCACTCTTTAAGGTTGATTTAGGGTTTCTTGGTGTTAAGTTTAATGGCAACTTCTGGATTATTCTGCGGTTTTTTTGCTACTTTTCTTACCAAGAAGTCGTTTGATTTTTACTCTACTCAAAATTAAAAAATAAATTTTAATAATTTGTAGGAGGTAGTTTTTGTTGCCAGTCCCTGCCACATCCCTAGTATCTTGTATGACTGTTATTGACAAGGATACAAAAAAAAATTAGTCCGGAAAAGTACTTTATTGCACTATTTAAAATTTGATTTATTATAGCTCAATTCGATGAATATTCACAATTTCACATTACTCTTCACTTTTTGATCAAAATTCACTAAAAAGTTTGTGGCGTATTAGGCCATAATTATAAGCTATAAGCTCGTAGAACAAATCTAGTACGTAACACGATGCGTAAAGTGCCTTTTCCGCCCTTGCCGGCTTGCCAGAACTCCGCTTTGCGTCGTTTGTGCAACTGCTGTGGCGTGCGGAAAAGTTCCACTTTTGCACATGTTAGGTAAATAACTAATTTCCACTTGTACTGTAATACACTATTATTTGCATAATCTACAGTGAATTATTAGCAGGTTTCGTTCAAAAATACAATTTGCATCATACATTCTATTGATACTGATATAATGTCCTACATATCTGTTGCCTTTTATTTCTACCTTCTTGTACTTGTTCATTATAAAAAACATCAATATCTTCTCCGTTGTTTTGTACAGCATTTAATCCTCCTCTCACATATTCCTCAATCAATAAGTCTTCAAAATTTAAACATATATTGTGTAATATAGTGCAGGCAAGAACAGTATTGGGAATAAAACTTGTTTTGTTCATGTCCAAAAATTTCAATCGTCTGAAGCGCCCAAAAAGAAGTGCAAAAGCTCTTTCTATAGTTTGTCGAGTCTGACTTACTTTTGTATTAAAATATCTCTGTGCTGCAGTTAAGTTCCCACGGTCAATGAAAGGTGGAATGCACCATGTTAAAACCGGATAGGCTTTGTCACCAATGATAAATTCTTCTAAAAATAATTCAGAAATAATATCCACGTAAGTTACATTCTATGAGATTTTTGTCATACCATTTGGAATATAGTGATCATGATTGTTTAGTACAGCAAAATATAGATCGGAATTCCGAAATATTCGTGTATCGCTAACTGATCCCGGAAATCCTACGAAACAGTCTGTAAACTTTAATCGATTATCACAAACAGCTTGTAAAGTCATCGCGTAATTACATTTTCTTGTCAGGTAAGAGTTTGGGTCTTCTTTGGGTGCTTTGATTACAATAAATGTACCATCAACTGCACCTATAATATTCGGAATTCTTGCAATTCGTTCGAAACCTTCTTTAACTCTTTCTAAATCATTCCCTCTTGGCCATTTTATAACTTGTGGAGCTATGTCACATAGAGCATTTACTACTCTCGTAAAACATTTTGAAAGAGACGATTTTGCCATATCAAATCTCTCTCCTACAGACCTATAAAACCATTTTGTTTTAACAGTTAAATACCCAGTGTACTTTCTGCCCTTACCGATATGAATCTGGTGTTGCCAGCAACCAAATAACAGCTAAAATTTGTTTTTCAACATCTAATCTGCTTCTGCCAACATCTGTTTGTCTAATTAATATTGGGCCAATATATCCTAATAATGTATCATATGCATCCAAAGTTATTCTGAAATTTTGTTGAAACTGACCCCTAGTGTAATTCCAAACAACCTTTTCAACATAATTTTCTATACGGTCAGGTTTATAAAAACTTCGTTTACGTGATATCTGGATTAAATTAGGTAAATCCTCATCCTCATGTGTTTCTTCAGAGTCTTCCTCCAACAGTATCATGTAGCAAAAATTAATTATGCTCACTAGTATTAGCACAACAATTTCTTCGTCCAACATAATTTTCGCAGGTCACAGAGCTAGAGCTATTTTTATAGTACTGTACTAGAATCCTCACTAAAACTAGAAACTAATAAGGTAATAAATAATATTTTTTTTATTTGAAAAGTTGGGTTAAGATGAATTTCACCACTACCTAGTTGACGGATGATTCTGACAGACAGAAATTACGCTCCGCTCGTTCATATATTTTTCAAGTCCCGGGCGCACTCTGGGTAAATATCGCTCTGGGCGAATTTCGCCCGGGTATTTCATTTATGAACGCACTCCTGTGGTTTATCGTTCTTGAGATTCGGTTCCTCATCGGTTTCAAACAGCTGATCATTCCGGTCAATTTTGGAACGGTTGATCGGGTTCAACCAGGAAAAAGTCGTTACATTTAGGAACGGTTTGGTAAGTAAACTAATAAACCGGTATCGCACCGGTTCAAAAACCGGTGAATTTTGGCCCGTTCATTACACAAGGGATTTCCTGCTAGACCTACCAGTGTAGACTAAAGACTTGCCGAAGCAGATCTGGAACCCAATTTTTGGATCGAAATGGAACCTCCATCATCATGAGAATTATAAGAACGTTAACCCACTGTAGCACTTCGTGTTTTGGAGAGTTCGTTTGTGTTAATAGTTGTATTCCTTTCAAGAGTTTGAAACACTCGAGCTACTCGCTCCGGTGTTCATACGCCCCCGATTTGCAGGGAACAGATGCGTGGTGCAACAAAAACTTTTCGAAAGGAATAAGCGCGTGAAGCCCCGGAGCTGTTCCGGAGCTCCTCCTAGGTGTGAAAGGAATACAACTGAATACAACTAAGGCCGAGTTCGTTTTTGTCATCTTTTCCGTCGATTTGCTCCGAAATTTTGACAGGCACGTGACTGGATAAGACAGTTTCAAGTTACAAATCACGTGCCTGTCAAAATTTCGGAGGAAATCGACGAAAAATATGACAAAAACGAACTCGGCCTAATTAGGCAATTCAATCCATCTGTCAAAAAGGAAAATTCAATGTGGCGTGGCGGCCAAGCAAGTTTGTTTTGAATATGTTTTTATGCGTATTTTAAATTATTTTGCATAAAGTTTTGCTTACAACTTTGATTTTCATTATTTAATAAAATATTTGTTAACTAGGTACCTAAACTATTAATTCGGGCAGAAACTAGATATTTTTGTGTGTTTTTTTGCCCATGTGTGGCCGCCACGCCATCTTGAATGTCACGTGTTTGAATTGCTCAATGGCAACAGACGAGCGTTAGTTGAATCGGTGACGCCACAAACCTGAAATATTGTACACTCAGTTCAAGTTAGTGCGACAAACAAACAAACCGTTTTCAAACATAGAAAAACGTGCAAATTAATACAGTACACTCAGTGCGCATTAAATTTGGCAATCGAAAGCGCTATCACATGTTGCGCATGACATGTTACTATCGAAACTTTTGATAAATTTCGATAGTTTCACGTTTCACTTCTAAACTATCGATACTTCTCGACCTATATTTATTTGGTATTTTTGTTTAACTATTTTTGTCTTTTGTTGATGAATGAAATGATAATACTGATATTATTATCAATATATTGGTATTAACACAGTTTGTATTAATATACCGCGAGTATTCGGGCGAATACCTACCTACTATAGGTATATTTATATTTTGTATAGTCCTTAGGAAACAAGTGAAATAAAACGTAAGTACAATACAAAGTAAATAGTCCCAAATTAGTTTGTATAGCAAAATGTTTAGATTTTCTTGAGCCTTATTAAGTACGAGGTACGTGGTACGGGTACGAGATGAAGTACCCGAGGAAGTACCTTTGTAGTTTTTGATTTCCAATAAACTAATAAACAATGCCACAAAACAAACTGTGGTTACAAGCACTTATCCGCTTATCCCATATAATATCCTGTAATTTATTAAATCCCTGGAAACGGTATCAACTTTTATTTAATCTACCACACGGCGTTCCCTAGGGGTCCGTCCTTGGACCTGTTCTCTTTCTGATCTACGTGAACGATCTAACAACTCTGCCTATTCTCGGAGATTTTTGAGGATGACACGACAATGCTCTACTCTATTGAAGGAGACTTGTTCATATTCAAGGAATCGTGTGATGCAAATTGCCTTGTCTTGTATTGAAAACAAATATACTGACTTTTAACTAAGTGTGATCTTAACAACATTACATTGGACGGAAGAACAATAGAACACAAATCAACTGTCAGGTTCCTGGATGTGCACTTGGTGTGCACATAGATTCCAGACTCATATTTGAGACACATATCGAAGCTCTCAATAAAAATCTGTCACAGAGCTGCTACATAGTAAAAATCATACTGCATGAGCTAGGCAAGTGTTCAGCTAAGGTAGCATACCACGCATTGATGGAGTCGCATATCGAATTTATGATGTTCCTTGAATACTATGTACCATCGTCACCAAAAGTAACTCGGACAGCATCATATTAGCTCTTGTTGTACTATTATATGCATTTTATTGTCAAACTATGAATTAAATGCATTGAAATGAATGATGGAAGAATTAGTCCAGATTATTATGCATTATTTTTGTCCCAGATACTTTTGGTGACAATGGTACTTCAAAAACTTATGCTGCACCCTCTCGATAGCTACATTATAAGAGGGAGACCACACACAATAACCAATTTAGAAACAACTAATGACTGTTGTGTGTAAGTAAGGTGGTTATCAAGCAACACCCCCAAATCTTTTATTTGAGAAGCCGGTAATACGGGCGAGCCTTTTATATTATAATCTTGATGGATGGGATTTCTTCCACGGCTGAAGATCATTAATTGGCATTTATTAATATTTAGTTCTTTTTTTTTTTTAATAATCATTTATTTCTGACCTCAAATCAGTATACAAAGAATACTGGCACCGAGGCCTAGGATAGTAACTTTTACAGACAAAATAACAAAAAATAAATTCTACATGATAAAATGGAAAAAAATAACATTATTGAGCTAAATCATTTTGGCATAAGTTAAATTCTTATAAAATAGATATATCTGTTTAAGTCTGTCTTAAATAATTCTTAAGGTTATGGCACATTTTTGGAAGTTTTAAATCTATAATAGTCTTTGGTATCACATTTGTTGCTTGTATGCTTCGATAAAGTGGAGAATCTTGGCCTTTTTTTGTTCTGGCGTAGCTGTTCCTAAGAAATTCCTTCGCTCGAGTATTATGTTCATGACAGTCTTTACCATGCTTCAACTGATAATTGCTTTTAATAAGCTTGTTTTGGACACAATAAATAAGCTTGACTTGTTCAAAAATTTTTAGTTTCTCTATTGTTAAAAACGGATATTCTTTGTATATGGTTTCACTGGGTGTGCAATATTCCATAGAAAAAAGTGATTTTATAGCTTTATTTTGGACTCGTTGTAGTTTTGTTAAAAGGTATTTGCTTGCATTTCCTCAACAGGGTAAAAGATATCTAAAGTGAGGTTCTATGAAACTGTTATATAGCATATGCTTGGTTTTGTTGTTAAGTTGATGAGAACACCTTTTTATTAGTCCTATAAACGGCGCTACCTTTTTTATAATACTGTCTATATGTTCGTTCCAGGTTAATTTATTTGTTATTGTTAGTCCAAGATATTTATACTTTGTCACTTCTAGCAGCACTTTGTTATTTAGCTTCAGTACAGGATTGCATTTTTCTTTGCCTTTTTGATTGACGACCATATAAACTGTTTTGGTCACATTCACCGTTAGTCTATTATAGGACAACCATTTGAAGTAAAGGTCCAAATCCTCATTTAAGTCTATCTCCATTTGGTTCTTGTTATCAGCAGAAAGCACCAATACAGTGTCGTCGGCAAACATAAAATATTTTGACTTCATACCGACAAATTTAAGACTTTGCACATATATTAGGTACTGTAGAGGGCCCAATACGGAACCTTGAGCGACTCCAACCTTAAGAGTTTGTTCACTGCTGCACTTTCCATTTATAACAGTATAGTGTTTCCTGTTTGTTGAATAACTTGACAAGAGTTCATGACATATTCCACGGATGCCAAGTTTATGAAGCTTATCCAACATGAGGTCGATGTTCACCGTGTCAAATGCCTTTTGTAGATCCACAAACACCATAGCAACGTATCGATTTTTATCCACTTCACTTGAAACGTAGTCTAGCAGATCCGCTGTAGCTCCCAATGTGTTGCTGTTTTTTAAAAAGCCATATTGCATTTTATCAAAGTTGCATGTTGCAGTAATAAAGTCTATCATCCTTTTTTTAAGTACTTTTTCAAGTATCTTGGAGAAAGAACTCAAAAGTGAGATTGGTCGGTAGTTATTTAAGTCGTCATGTGCACCTTTCTTATAAATTGGTATTATTTTTGCTATTTTCAGTTCTTCAGGATATATCCGATTTTCCAGTACACAATTTATCATATCATTCAATTCCATTAAGAACGCACCACTGAGATAAACGATTTGAATCAGATTGAAGTTGGTCACAGTCATTCTGATTTCAGATTTACATATAGAATTTTAGATCATCAGCATATAGTAAGAAAAATGCGAACATGAAACAGGATGCAATTGAAGAGTAAGGGCCCTAGCGGAACACCTGATAGAACTTTAATTTTGGTGGACTGAAAGTTGTGGATGCGTACAATTTGTGTTCCATCTCTAAGGTATGATGTTAACCATTCTAAAAGCTCTCCCTGAATTTCAATGTGTCTCAATTTATTGATTAGGATTTTATGGTTTACTCTGTTGAAGGCTTTCGTGAAGTCTGTGTATATGGCATACACATGGGACCCTTCCTCCAATGAATTCAAGAGAAAATCTGTGAATGTAAGCAAGTTTAACTCAGTGAAGCAGTGGGGGAGAAATCCAAATTGCTGGTTGATGTGAGTGATGCCGTGCGGAAAAATCGATTTTCCGCACTGATATGCGTGCGGAAAATGAGTTTTCCCGCACGGTGCGGTAGAACTTTTTTTTGACATATCATTGCGGAAACACTTTTTTCTACTGACGTTTCATAATAGCAACTTTTCGATTGTCATTTCAGTTTTGAACAGACATTCTTTTAGGCACTGAGTGCGTGAAAGTTACTTTTAGGCACTCAGTGCGTAAAAGTGACTTTTGAATGCGTAAAAGTGACTTATGAGTGCGTAAAAGTAATTTTTTCTATTTTGATGTCATATCGAAGTCTTTTCGACACTAAAAGTAGTTTCGAAAAGAAGCTCTTTGTGACACTCCTTTTTTACTTATCGGAGGTTGGTTACACTGGCTGACTGATGGCCATCGAACTGTCATTCGCGATTTTATAATAGAAGATTTCTATATTTGGCATGCAGTGTTACCAACCTAAACATATGAAATCAGGAAATATGAGAATAAAACTTCCAAGAAAAATTTGTTTTTTTAAATTAAACAATACCAAAATAGAAAAAATAGTATAAAATATTCGTTTCATAAGACATTTTATCGCACTCGCCCTTTAGAAAACTCGCCTGCGGCTCGTTTTCTAATATAGGGCTCGTGCGATAAAATGACGTCTTATGAAACTTGTATTTTAATGTACTATTTAAGCACTAGTGCCTAAAAGTGTCATTCATTATTCAGAAATAAAAAACACACTAAACACATATTTGAATTTTGTTTTGTATTTATTATGAATATTGAAAATGGAATTACTGAATTGAACGTTTGGGTTACTCAAAACAGAACTTTGTGTTATTACCTACTTTCTAGGATTTTAATTATTGATGTCGAATTTTGAAAAGAAAATCGCATGAAAAGTGTCAGGTGTCAAGTAAAAGCAGGTAACAAAGATTTTGGGTGTAATCGACTTATTCACATGAAATAAAATTGTGTTTTTTTATTATAAAATGCCAGTAGAAAAAATCTTGTATACAATACGTTACGAAACGATGTCTTTTAGTCACTCGACGTGTTGTCCAACTCGGCTTTGCCTCGTTGGACAATTTTCACGTCGCGTGCCTAAAAGACGCTCATTTCGTAACTTATTGTATAAATAGCTATTTCCGCACGGCTGTCAGTGCGGAAAAAATTTTACCGCACTGATATGTCAAAAAAAAAAAGAAATATTTACATTTACACTCGGCTGCATCACCGAACTCCGCTACGCGTCGTTCGGTGAACAGCAGCCGCGTGCGGAAAAATGTATTTTCCGCACTTGTTAGGTAAATAGCTATTTTCAAACTTTGAAACCCCTGTATCTCGAAAACTAAGCATTTGCGGACCTATGTTTCTATCAACTTTTTTCTTATTTTAATGAGTACTATTTATCCTAGAAGTTTGATCCCACTATTTATTAACACCCTGTATAGTACTTACCTCAATCAGGCAAACCTGATGAAACAAAACTCCGAACACAAATTCAGTACATCTACAAACGATGTCAAACTGTGTTAGTGCGTGTAATATGAATATGGCGGCTCGATGTCCGCCATATCAGAATCATAAGAGTATCAAGTCCGCTCCCCTCTACTTCGCATTTTCGCATTAATGTCTTCACAAAATTACTGATAATGCAGCATTGATGCAGCAAAATGCGTGAAAATGTGGTAAAATGCGTGAAAATGTGACAAAATGCATAAAAATGTGAAAAATTTAGGAAAATGCTGCGCATTTGATTAAAATGCCATATAATGCGAAAAATGTGATCGCAATGCGGACTGAACGTACATGTATTGCGGCGAGTGGTCGACCCCTCGTTCTCCACACTAGACCGGTCTCCACTCTTGAAAATGGGGGTAATATGTTATGCTGTAATAAGTTATACCTACCTCAAATATATCTGCAAGTTGGGCTTCAATTGTTCCCTGGAGAGCCTCTGGTTTATTTTCTTTTAAATAACCATAACATTTTAATATTTCCCTTTTTTTTTTCTTCTGAGATTATTTTCGGCATCTTCAATACGAAAGAAATTTGACAATGTCGAATTTTAAAAATTGTCATTAAATGTCATTATTATACGAGGGTCAACCTGCAAAATTTCCATGGATAATGCTACGCCAATAATAAGTGAAAAGCATATATATTAAAATGGGATAGATTGATGCCACTAAAAAGTAGAGTCATTTGGGGTACAGTCCTTGTCACTATAAATTTTTGAGAAGTATTCAGCAAACAAATTCACAATATCCTCTCCCACAGAACAACCATCATCAAAGTGCATGACTGATGGTATATAGCTTTTTTCCTTTCTGCCATTCACAAATTTCCAAAATTTTTTAACATTGCCATATAATTCACATAACATTGCGTTTTTAAAGATTTACATTTTGCTCTCAAATTATTATTATACTCTGAATAAAACCCTGAATTAAGATATTTTTTGTGTGTTTTTTTTTCTATTATTACTTCTATAAGTTCCTGAGAAAATCAGATGGCAAATTTTTTAGCTGGAATTTTCTTTAAAGGAACAAAAATATCAACTGTTAAGTGAGCAATATCGTAAAATATGTTGACCATCTCATCAAGGATTTGTAATTGAATAACTTGTCCCATTTGAATTGAACTGGGATAAAAAAGTAATCACTGCGTCAATGTCTACTGATTTGATGTCCCTATAATCAATGACCTCCTATAATAGCCGTCACCGTTGAGACCAGAGCTGTTATAATGAATGGCATCACAGTGTATGGAGAAGGATAGTGGTGGGTGGTAAGGGTTCATTGGCAGTAGAACACTCTATGCCTCACCAATCACGACATCCCTCTCCTGTAAAAACACTAAATCCCAAAGGCTGTTGTTAACATTTCGGACAATGTTTAATAGAAACAGGTTGTGGTAGGAGTAAAGGTGAGAAACTACCTGAGTGGACTCAAATTCGTTTTGGGTGTATCCTGCTAAGGGGGTCGCCACTAAAGCCAATTTTTCCCTGGTCCACAGACTGTTGGGTACGTTGAAGTACCCAACTGTAGCAAAGTTGAATTTGCTTTTGTTGAATTCAATTTCAATAAATAGTTGTTCAATGCTCTTGGTAGCTGGTAAAATTTTGCTACTGATAGTTTCATTGACTGCCACTAGAACCCCTCCCCCTCTTGTGGAGCCACTAATATCAGTAGATCTATCCTTGCAGGCTTGCAGTATACAGTAAGGGGCAAGCGACTAGGTATATAGGATCCAGCTTGACGAATTTACGACCGTCCGCAGCCGTTTGAAAACCTGTCGCTGTCGTTCGTTTGATGACTTTGACATTCGTTGAGTTTGTTCACTTCAGTACGTTCTATGATACAGACTTAAGCCCGGTCCAGACACTACGTTACAGACTACTGATCACAACGTTTAGTCTGCAACGTGTTGAACTGTGCAGATAAAACGTTATACAAAACGTAGCGTCTGGACGGTGTAGATAGCTGAGCCTTTGTTATCAATAGATTTTTTTTCGAACCGAAAACAATCATCATAGCAAAGTCTAATATGATAGTATTTTTTCCGTTCTTAGGAAAGAAAACATTCCAAGCGTATAATTTAGTGAAGCAAATGTTCAAATAGTCCTCGTTCTTGAGCTAAACAATGACCTACGATCATAGAATGCTCTACTAACCTTATTTAGCATCACAAGAGTGATAGATAGATCTCTCGAATTTTGAAAACCAGCTTCTTCAGGTTCAAAACATAATTTTTTGTCTTGCCATAACCACCGAGATCGTTAGGTGTAAGATCAGGACAGCGGGTTGGCTACAGATCTTGACGCAACAATAAGACGGCTTGGAAAATTATTATTTAAATACTCCAGAATGAAACCCGTATTATGGGTTGGACAACCTTCTTGTTCAAATCATGTTCCTTTAAATCTAGGACCAGCTTATCTTGTAATTTCTGTTTGCCGTTGCAAAAGATTCATATATTTTGGACCAAGCAAGTTACCATCAATGAATCACGGCCCAATAACATGTTCCCCATACAATTACCTTCTGAGGACGCTGGGTTCTAAGTTCAAAATACCTATCTAAATTTTCTTAAGTGATCCAGACATCATATTGTGGTGACCAGATAATGCTTTCATATTCCAGAGTCGGCAAGACTAAAGAATCAAAGAGATGCAAACTGACACCCACATCTAAGTTTCTTGTGCTGCGAGCTTTAAATCACGAAATCTTGTGGGCTCTGACAATTTTCGAGATAATATAGTTTGAGAAATATAATATTGGATCAAAAGTTATTCCCAGATCTATTTGCTAAGAAGCTCCGAAAGGATATTTATTTAGTCTGAAATGATGTTATCACAAAAAAATTATCTTTATTTGGATAGATGGCTTGCTATGTCATTATCATCTCTTCAAAGTCACCCGCAGAATCCTTGAGATTGTTTACATACAACCAGAAAAATTTGGGGTTGATTTTCAAGTTCAGTTCAACATCAGTAAGATATTGCTTATATGCTACTTGAATTTTGTTTATGCCGATGGTACGCAGATAATTTCATTTGCACCTCCAAAAATGCGACTTCACTCGCATATAATCGTTATATTACTATTGATAATTTCGTTATTGTACCACACGATATTTTTTTATCAATTTGAGCCGGTTTTGGTCCACCTTTTTCAAGAATATAATTTAGATTACCTAGTGTAAAAATAATCTAAAGCTAAGTTAACGTTGGAATAGCACTGCAGCGAATTCCAGTTCCGATTGCTAAATATTCCAAACATTGATAAAAAGTCGGCTTTCGGAAAGCGCTGACCTATTGAAACCAATATATCTATTCAGCACCCTTTCCAAGATCATTGAAAAAATTGTTAAGGAACAACCGCTTGAATACTTGAATGAACATGACATCCCTAGTTGAAATAAGTTTGACTTCTGGGGCTCCAGGGGCATGCCATGTTTTCATTTTTGGAGGATTTGTATGTACCTTGATTTGAATGAGAGGAAGGTTGCAGCAGCAGTGTTCTGTGATTTTTCAAATACCGCTGCGGAAATTGGGTCATTATGATGTCCTGGGGACTGAGTCGTGCTGGATTGTGTCAGTGATTTTGGACAGAAATCAATTTATTCCATCGGACAGAGCTGATTCAGGTACAGAAGAAATCTTGCACGGAGTGCCACAGGGTTGCAGTGAAATGGGTATCAGTCAACTGTTCCTATTGATGCCTATATGTCTAGTAGCCTGGACCTGTTTGCATATCATATGTACATTATTGTCTTGATCTTGACCTTGAATTATCTGATTTAAAACTAGGTATAATATATTCTAATAATTATAATATCTTCATTCCCGCATTCATTATTTCACATTATCCAAACTGCCCTGATTCTGATTCCTTTGTCCTCACAATACTTGTGTCAGTATTATTATTATTAAAATAAACCTCAAGAAACGTACTGTGTAATTGTATGACCCATGCACCAAATTTGGTAATTTTTTATAGATAAACTTGCAAAACATGGACGAGACCCAGACCCAAGTAAACAAACAAGTGGATAATTCCATCGAATACTTCAAGAAAATTTGTCGGGTATGTCTGGTACCTTCCGAGAATTTATGTCCAATTATTAATGTGGTATTCAATCACAAAAACATAGAGAAAGAGGTGTCTTGCACCTTGACTGAGGTATTCAATAAGTATTGTGATGTGGTAAGTAATGTAATTATTTGAATTAGTTATTCCATTTACATAAAGGCTTGAATACCTAACTCAAAATTAAAAAATTAATAAATTAGTTTAATAAATCCCAAACCATCAGATAGTTGTAGTATGTACCGTCATTCTGATTCTCTTTATTTTATCTCAGGTAAAAGATGCCTACCTCAAACCCCAAAATATTTGTGAACTATGCTTGGATTTGACATCTAAGGCTTTCAGTGCTTTCGAATTATTCAATGCATCAAATGCACGTTTGGATAATATAATTGCACAAACAAAACTCAATGAACACAATTCTGTGATTGAAATTGATTTATTATCAGAAGCAAGTGATGGTAATCAAGAATTTGATCCAACAGGTAGCAATATTGAAATAGATGATGAAGATGATGATGTTAGAAGTGAAACAGGTGATGATGATGATGATGATGAAATAGATGGCACAGGTTGAGTTAGTAAATTTTTCGCTTTGCATATCAGTTTGATAAGATTTTATTTTAGGATCTAGACACATAAATAGAAGTTTAGATAAATCGACTTTATCGGAGAAACAGAAAAGTGAGCTTATGATAAAAAAACAATCAAACTTTTTTCTGATCAATCTTTTTTAGCAATGTTTGAGGCTACCAAAAAAGAAATACTATCAAGGATCCAACGTGAAGCCCAAATTTTCAGATGTAATCTTTGCGACAGTGGCCTACTGACAGGCATAGAGGTCGTTATTGAACATATGAAGGATGAACACCCTTTGGAAAAACAGTGTATCTTGTGCCTAAAAACGTTTCCAACACAATCATGCGCTCTCAGCCATGTTAATTCATTCCACTCAAATAAAAATGAAAATCTTCCTCTTTGTAGAAAATGTAACAAGTTTTTTAAGGTAAATTATTTTCCTTTTTAAAAAAAAAAAAATTCATGTCTAGCGCATATTTTTAGAATCAAGAAGCTTTGGACGAGCACATGGAAAGTGAGGAACATAAAAACTACAATTTTCAATGTATATGTCATTTTTGTAAAAAAATATTTAATAGAGGAATTTTGCTGAAGAGGCACATTTTAGGTGAGACCCATCAAATTGTTATCAATAGCTTCATCGGATTTCTAAAATTCAATCGAAAACTAGCTCTATTGCTGTGTGTACATAATAATTTCCTAAGTCATTCACTTTTCCTTTATGACTGTGTATTGTTTTTCATAATTGTAGAAGTTCATTTTAAAAAGCACAATAAGTCAGGGACGTGCCCAAAATGTGGAGTTGCCTTCAAACATAAAGAGAATCTAAACAGTCATGTTTGTGCTTATGAACATATCGAAAATGCCAAAGCAGCATGTTTGCTGTGTTCTAAATGTGGTCATGGTAAGAAATTATCATATTCTCTATCACATGAGGTTTTTAGAAATATTTTTCTAGATTTTCCATCAGAACATCTTCTCAAATTACACCAGAAAAATCAACACAGCAGACCACTGAAGTGTGACTACTGTTCAGAAATGTTCCAAGCACCCAGCGCATATTTCAAACACAGAATTTCACATCCCGAGTGCACTGACATTGTCTGTCCGCTTTGCTGTCAAGTCTCAGAAAACCTTGCAGAATATAAAATGCATCGTTTGGAGAATCATACCGAACATGTTTGTCACATATGCAATAAGGGTTTTCACAAAGAATGTACTATGACTCAACATTTACGAACTCATTCATCGAACCAACTGTTTGAGTAAGTATATGCCTACCAACACACTGGTAGTCATGTTCTCTACAACAATAAATAGATCTTTACCATTTCAACACCCTCGAATAAAAATAATTTATTTCAGATGTCACCTTTGCCCACAAAAATTCAAATACAAAAGCAGTTTGACACTACACATAAATGAGCACATCAACAGACCATCTTACGCCTGCAACTATTGTGATAAAACCTTTAAACGGCAAAGACTGCTCCGAATACATAAAACAGTTGTGCACAAGAATGTGAAAAAATTCAAGTGCAGAAAATGCGACAAAGCGTTTACTAATAATTGGGCCCTACATTCGCACTTGCGACTACATATGGGTGAGACATATTAATTTTTAGTTTTATGATTTACAATAAATTGTTTTAGGCTTTAAACCATTTTCGTGTCCCTTCTGTACCATGGTCTTTGTGGACACCACCAACAGGCACCGGCACGTTAAGAAAATTCATCCGGATAAAATGGACGATTTCGAATCCTATAAGCAAACTTATCAGAGTGAAGAAGTTAGAATAGTCAATTCGATTCCAATAACATCTATCGACCGGTCTAGTGGGGATGAAGAGGATACAAATGACCTAGAAGACGAGGATGACACTGAAATGATAACGATTGAAGAGGAAGAAGAAGAAGAGGAAGAAATAATTCATATTAAAAATGAAGACATGGAAAGTGATGTCCAGGAAAATGATTTAAGTGATAATTAAATTAATTGATGTTTTCTTTTATAGTAGTTTTAAGAATATATTGATTTATGATAAGAGATTACTTGTAAATGTTTAAATAATAAACTGTCAAATTTCATTAGTCAGATTTTAGTAACCCTTCTTTGGTCTTTTCGTAACATCTCTATGTTTGAAATAGTGGGAGTTCCATACTGCAGAACTATACTACAATTTAGGCCTAATGTAGCTTTTTGTAACCATCTCTACTGAGTCGTCCTTAAAAGCATGTTTGATAAGATAGATTAATGAGTTCTTGACAATTTGTGATGTGACTTTCCCATTTAAGATTTGATGTCACCATTTCGCTCTGGTACTGTTGTCTGTTGCAAGAATTTGGTTATTTAGAGTAGACTCAATCTTGGGATTGTTTTGGCCTATCCTAAAAACGGTGCACTTGGCTTCATTCAATTTCATCACCCATGTCCTTGACCACTCCTCAACAGTTTGCAGGTCTTTTTGAAGCTGCGCTGCGTGTGAAGTTGGATTTGCATAAAGTTTCCATCATCTGAAAAGTTCTTCATTGATGTTTCTATATGAGATCGACTGAATCAAAAAGATATGATGTGAAAAGCAAGGGTCCTACTACAGACTGAACAGCGTCAGTACTAACTCGATGTTTATCCGACAACGTACCATTGACTCGTACCTGATAATACCTTTCATATAACAAATCGGTTATCAATTCTAGCTTATTGGGTTGCATGTGAGACTTATGGGTTGATCGATAGTTTTCTGGTTAGTGTCTGTTGCCAGTGTTGCCTTTCTTGTATAAAGGTGGTTACTATAGAAAGTTCCCATTTTTCCGGAAATCTTCCAAGCTCCATGCACTGCTTCATCACCTCTGTGAGTCGACCACGAACTGTTTCTCTACAATTTTGAAGTATCTAGTCCTGTAGGAATTTCATCTGGTCCAGAACTTGAATCTTTCTTCATCTTCATTAATGCTTCTGTAACCGTTTCTTCTGTGAAATCTATACTATTTATTGAGTTCCCAACTAGTACACTGTACAAGTGGTGGTAGGCGGAAATCTTGATGGATAAAAACTGAGTTGAACTGTTGAGCAAAGCTTTCAGCCATTGATTTGTTATCTAGGATCTCCTATATTACGGGATCTTTAATAGTGATCCTTGACACCTTTGAGTTTAAATTTCGACTTAGGTATTTGAATATTCTCTCTCGTGATTCTGATTTGATATCACTAAATTATGTTCTTATGTTCTTCTTGCCTCATCTAGCTTTTGCTCGAGCGCATTATTCTGCATCATATATGATCGATAGCAAGTCAAAAAGTTTTTCTAGTAAAAATCACTCAAGTTCTTAGGCATTGAAAGTAATTTGTTAGTTCACTTCTTATCACTTATCTTCATCAGAATTATTGATAAAAGTCAGAAAATTATTAAACACTAAAGTACTGACATTTAACTTTTCACACGTAAATTTACTTAATTAATTACCTACTCAAAATTTTTAGATAGCACGCACATAAATGTTGACGAATTTAATTGTTCTTTCTTTCAAAATTTTTCCGCTACTTTTTCAAACACTGTTACCGAGGCAATTCAAGAAACTTTCCGCGAATATTCTATCGGACTGACACTTTAGGTACTGTAGATTTTAACTCAAACTGGACAGGACTGCGAACTAATCTTGCAACTGACTTCCACTTCTAAACACGCGGTATTTATATTTAATCGATCCCCCCGCAAAGTATTATTAGTTATCCCCCAAAATCGTCAATAGGCAGTCGTTTGACCATCAATACGACAATCCAATCATCCGACCTAGATATTATTAAAAATAATGATGCAATTTCCTTGAAATTTTACATCATTTTTAGCCTAAAAAATCGAATAATTATGTCGCAATATCCTAATTTATCGGGGTCAAATACATTGGTTCAAGAATGCCATAAATCATTCGATTTAATTATTTGGCCTCGCTTAAAAAAGTTCATTGATCGGATGTTAGGGTGACATCACGCTGGGGAAATAATATAATTTCGAATGTATTTGGTGTCACATTAATTTGTTCCATTTTTAATTTATCGATACTGATTTGGAAATACCGGAAATTCAGTTTTTGATTATTTGATATTATTTAATTTTTTACAGTAAAGACATTGGGTGGTATGAATAAAAACGAAGTACTTGCTACTACTACAAGTATTAGTATGTTCTACGTAGTATTTACTCCAAAACGAAATAGATACTACATTTCGAAACTATCGGAAATTAGTAAATGCTTCTTTGTGAAGTAAATACTCCGAAGAATATACTAATACTTGTAGTAGTAGTAGGTACTTCGTTTTTATTCATACCACCCATTGGGTGGTATGAATTGTGATTTATGGGTCTATTTTCTCGGAATATTACAAATGGTCGCTACGTCCAATTGGGGCGGCTCCGATTTGAGATCAAAAACACTTTTGAAATCATTGCATAAAAACAAGTTTAAAAGAAAACTTGAATGTTTTCTATATCTTGTTGGAAAGTCTATTATTCGATGCATGCTATTTTCTTGATACCTACATATCCATGAAGTCTTGTGTTCTCTTATCTACTGGGGACACTGTTAAGTTATTCCTCTTTATGTTGGGGTAGTTGAGATCTCCCAGTACAAATGTGTAGTTTTTGTTGTCAAATGCATTTTGCGCTGATGATTTGATCATTTGTGGTGCTGCCTGATCTGTATAAACATGCAACTAGCATTTTCACTTTACCTGTCTAGAGGTCTAACCACAGTGCACCCACTGGCTGGTCAAATTGGGAAGTTTGGAGATTGGAGAGATGCTGCTTTTGACTTTATATTCATTCACATTTGTTTTCGACAAGGATGCAAACTCTTCGTCCCTTTTGTTACTATCGATCTTCACGAAATATGCTGTATCCATCCAGGCTTATAATACTGTCGATATCTGTTCTTAACCAGGTTTCTGACAGTGCAATTATGGTGGGCGATGACGTTGATATTCTTACTTTAAAGTAATCAATTTCATTCACTATTGAGGACAGATTGCTGTACCAGAATGGGACATCAACTACCTCTGCGATGCTTAGTTTTTTTTTGCTATTTTTTTTATTTTTTCTATTATTTTAGGAATCCCATTAATATACATACTCTTCACCTTCACTTTTCTGCTTCTCCAGATCTTGCAAGACTAGGCCTTTGCACAGACGCCTGGCACATTTTCTTCTAGAGTTTTCCTATTTAGAGCTTTTAGTGTCTCCTGTCTATCCGGAAGAATTACTTTAATAGAACTTTTTTTGCTCATCATTTCCCGTCCTAGTACTACTAGTCGAAATAGCTTTGCAGTCTCTGGTAGGGTTGAATTTATTAGGGCGAAGAGCCTCCTTATTGTTTCTTTATCTTCATTCGCCATTTCTTGTGCATCTTGCTTTTGCGACTCGTCCACACCAAAAAAAGAATATCTTTTGTTCCTCTACGCTCCCTCTCTTTGATTTCAGAGTCAGTTCTACACACCTGGCTCAGCCTCTTTCACCTCTGAAGTTTTGATCTTCTCATCAGCATAACTCACACCAGGAACTTCTTAGTCAACCTGTTCTATTGCATTCGTAGTCTTGACTAGCTTCCCGTTAGGGCCGGTTTCTCAATAGCGAGTCACCTCCGGGTTGGTTTTAACTCCAGGGTAAGAGTGTCCAGTTTGCTGTTTACCCTGAAGTTATGCTTAACCCGGGGAGTGACTTACTATTTCCATCGAGGTTTTCAAAGATTCCACCTCTAATTTTAGTTTTTTGAGGCTTGTAGCTGTCTCCAGAACCTTGCTGTTGGGTTTTCTTAAGATCCTCATGGCAGTTTTTTGCATTTTCCTATAGGAAAATTTCAACTAATTCCGTTTGCTGCTTGTTGCGGCAGAAGTGCTGCTTAATAGCAGACCTCAAGTATCATGCAGTTGTCTGGATGACTCCACTGTTCGATTATCGAATAATGACGGCTGATGCTGTGGACCTGCTCAATTTAGACAATCATCTCGGGAAATATTCCGTAAATTAGTGATTTAGGCGTCAGGGTGTAGACTTTATTACAGATAACAATCGAGTAATTTGCGAGTTGTCTAGTTCAGGGTCTACTCTAGAAATTGTAGAGGTACCTTTACATACAAATAAGTATAGGTAGGTACTTATAAAGTTTTTGTTCGAATTTTTAAATTTTAACATTCTATCCCTTCATTCATGTTTCTTTTAATTATCTCCTTCAAACCTGCAAAACCTATGTGCCCATACAGGTATAACGCCTTTGCCACATCATAAAATCGTTATTAAAGATTTTTAACATTCAAGCATGCTTTCTTGCATAACTCAAATGATATTTCATACAAATTTTCTCTTTTTCCTATAGGTAGGTACCAACCTATATCCTATTCACAATCCGTAGTCCAAAGGTATAGGTAAATTTATCACCTTTCCCTATCAACTAGCACTAAAAGGTGATAAATTTTACCTTTACCTTTGGACATCGGATTGTGAATAGATAATATTTTATTTTATTTTTCATCAATTAATGTTACCATTTCATTAAGTTTCTTGAATTCTTTCCTAAATAGGGTAGTAGTAGGTACCTTCATAAAAAACATTCTTTTATGTGCTACAATTTACCTTTTTTTAACTTTATGTTGTTCGCAACAGCCATGGCCAATAGAAAACTTTCATTTTTAGCTACAGCGAATTTAATTGGTTCATTTAACAATACCAAATTAATAATAGAATGTGTTATTCTTAATTCTTATTGACCATGTCGTTAGTGCAACCAGAACCAATAAAAAAATTCCGAACCACATTTGAAAAGCTCTTCTTTTTTCTCGTAGACATTTTAACTGATTATCATTCACGCATTGTACAATCAATCAAAAATTTGGCTTTGCAATCTTTTTTGTTTAACTGCTTCTTCTTCATTCTCGGTGGCCAAAAGTAGTTGAAACAGTTTTTGTTTCAATTATAATCTGTAATTGCATTTTCTACCAAAATCATCTCCATTAAGAACCTCCAGTTATGAAAATTATTGCCATCCAAAGCCTCAATTGCATAATTTTGGATTAGGTTGAGTAGAAGTCCTCGTACTATAATGATGAAGTTTATGAAGAAGCCGCCCAAATGGTACCTTGTCAAAAGTCTTTTCAAAATGCAGGTAAAATACTTCAACAGAATGGCCAGAATCATCTACCCTTGTCCAGTCATGAACCTTGATAAGCAGGTTTGTGAAAGTGGACTTACCAGAGAGAAACTTGTGTTGGGAAGGTGGGATGATTCCATTTCTGAGCAAAAATGCAGTCATCCCAGTTACCAGGAATTCATCCATTCATTTGCAAAGAGTGCTTGTTAAGCTAATGGGCCTATAGTTTTCAGACAGGTGTTTGTTGTAAATTAAAGGCACTACAATTGTATTATTTTGTATTCCCTTGGTAGTTTACCCTGCCTGAAAAATATTCATCATTGCTGAGAGGGGATGTGACAGAACTGCAGCACACTTGTTCAGGAAAATGGCAGGAATTTCATCCTCTCCTAGACTAGAATCTGGCTTCATTGATTTGGGTGCAGTCTCCTTGCAATTTCTCGGAAGTAAAAGTTACAATTTCAAGTGAATGTATTAGAATCCAAGTTGGGCATATGGCTTTAATCTTCTCTTTGTAACTATTTGGCAAACAAATTGGCAACTTCTTTCTCATGATTGAGGGTGCAGTTAGTGGTTACATCCCTGAGTGAGAAATGTGTAAGTTTTGAACCAAGGGATCTGTTTATGTAAGAATAAAACTGCTCATCAGAAGAGGCTAGCAATTCTTGTTCATATTTCCTTGTAGACTGTTTTATCTTGGCGTTAAGGAAGTTATTTTGTTTCCTGTAGTTCAAGTTGACATTTTCAGAGGTGCTTTCCAATTTCTTGTACCTACCACAAATTTTTCTTTTATTCAATGTGTTGTGTGTAAAAATTTCTTGAGTTATCCAGGGCTTCTGGGGATTGACAAACTTCAGTTTGAATGGAATGAAAGAGCTGATTGTGGATGACAGAATTTATAGTTAGAATAGTGATGCTGAAGAATTCTTGCTGCAGATGTGTCTTAATAATAAAGTTCATAGTCTCCGGACCAAAAATTTCCTCTTATATATTTAATTTCTTGGAGTAATTGGGCCGGGTTTTCAGATTTGGCTGTTATGACTACATGGTCACTTATTTCAATTGGTGGATGATGTGATACATCAAAAGCAAGCCTTTTGTCACTGACTAATAGCAGATCAAGTAGAGGCTGTTCATTCCTTCTTATCCTGGTTGGAAAGCATTGATTTCCTTGTAGGCAGTTATGAAATCTGAGCTAGATGGATTTGTAGGATTGACTGTTAATATTTCCCAGTTGATCTATGTGTAGGTGAAGTCTCCAAAAATGAAAGTAGATATATCAGTGTTGCATGCTTGTTCTAGGTATACCTATATCCTTTATAAGTTTCAGGTTGTCTTCTACACTGACACTGGTTTGCGTTTAGGCCGATATATGCATGAAACAAGCATGGGCTGACCATCTATTCTTCAAATGAATTTTCATTTGATTGATAATACGAAGATGAAGCAAGGATAAAACATTCCTACATTCTTTTATACATACTTTTTTGCCATCTATCAAAAACAACAAAAAAAAACAAGCAGATTTTAGCGTAAGTATAGGTATCTCAATAATTTTAAAAGTGCTAAGTGTTGTTTGATAATTGTTGTATCTCGGGGTTCAGGAATTTAATGCAATTTCCTTGAAATTTTACATCATTTTTAGCCTAAAAAATCGAATAATTATGTCGCAATATAGTGATTTATTAAGGTCAAAACGTTATGGGTTCAAGAATGCCATATATCATTCGAATTAATTAGATACGCAGGGCCTTCGCTAACAAAAAAGTTCATTGATCGGGTTTTAGGATGACATCACGCTGTGTGTCGAGATACGTTAGCGTTAATTTGTTTCATTTTTAATTTATCGATACTGATTCAAGAATACCGGAATTAAGTTTTTGATTATTTGATAAAATTTAATTTTTTTACAGTAAAGACTTTGTAATTATAGGGTCAAATTTCTGGTTCATCACACTAACTAACTATTTTTCAATAGGTAGTATGGGAAAGAGGTTTTCTGGTAATTCTTTTATGCAGTGATGAAATATTTAACTTTTTCTTCCACACTGATTTGGACTTATTTGAAACCCTTGAGTGGTAATAAGGAGCGATATTTGAGACTATTTAGCAGCTTAATTATGAATCATCTGCTCCTTTTAACACTTCTCAAAAAAAAAATTATAATATGCTGTCATGATAACCTGACCTATCTATTCGATTTTAATGAAATATCATCAATTCTCACTACTAATATCTTAAACCATTTACCGCATCTCACTATTTCCTCCCTCCCCCCATAATAGAAAATGACAAAAATCTGGAGTAACATTTCATGTATGATGTTCCATTGTGAATAGATTTTTGAACTCTAAAGCGATTTAGTTTCCACAGCACCAAAGGTACATGATGCCATGTTTGATTTTTTTGAAACTGTTTACCACCATATTAATAATCGAGATGCCATGGCAGCGGTTTGCTGTGATCTCTCCAAGATCTTCGACTGTGTGGATCGAGGAATTCTCCTGTCAAAGCTCAAAGCTCGAGCTTTACGGCTTTAGGTGATATTCTCTTTCTTGGTTTCCTTCCTATCTGAAATGCCCTTAGAAATGCCGGAGCTAATCTGTGATTGCATCGGGAGTTAAATCATCGGCACGAGTTGTTAGGTGCGGTGTTCATTCATCATTTTTGCCGACGAAACATCTGTTATATGCATGTATGACATAATAAGAACGTGGAACAACTCAGGCGCGACATTGCATCAGACCTTATCACAATCAAACAGTGGTGTAATTCTGACCGCCTCTAATGTTGTTGGTTTTGGCTGTGATGTGCTGTGATATAACAGGTTTATCTACATCTGGGTGAAAATCGTTTCGAGGACCAGCCCTGTGCAAGATTTTTGGTTTTATTTGTCAATGGTGGGTGACGTTTTGAGGACCATATACTTAAGCTTAGCAGGAAACGGTCATCGGGATGCTTTGAGATTAGAATTGCACACAGAGAGCATTGGTGTGGCTGTGGCTCGAATGGTCTACTATGCACTGTTTGAGTCTCCTCTTAGGTATAAGATTCCCTTCTGGGGTGCAGTGCAAGTAGTCAATATCTTCTAAACATATTGTGAAAAATCGGCCAAAGAAACTTATGTAGACCCCATTTCCGGTTGCAGAAGATCCTGACATTATGCTCTTTATCCTTGAGACAGCCACAATGATCTATAAAAACATACTGAGCATCCATATTCAGGGTGAAACTAATCCTTATGGCACTCGGGATTAAACGAATAAACTGACCTGCCTCTGCTGATTCTAACAAAAGAACTGATCGAAAAGTCACTTATTCATAATGGCAGAATTTTTTTAACCATCTTCCAATTCACATTTAGTCTGCCACTAGTGTTAAATGCTTTAGACAGCTACTTAAGGGTACTCTATTGACTCTAAGACATATTATACCCTAGAAGTATTTTCTACAAACAACTTTATTTGCGGCTTTTCTAATCGAAGTTCTAATCTCTATAATATGTTTTTTTTTTTGTGTGTGGTGTATTTTTGTATTTATTCTTTTATCCTTTATAGTTTTAATGATTTTACATTTTAAGTATTCTTTTTGTTTTAATGTTTTTTATACGTATTAGACTAGCTTTAGTACATTTTTGTTTATAATTTTATTGTACCTACTTTGGAGAATTTAGAAGTAATAAAGTATTTTTTTATTTGATTTCGAATAGAAAGAAAAACAAGTTTCCTTAAAATCATTTATTAATGCTTATGTTCCTTTTACAGTACTTATAACAAATTATATCTCTTTTGACATTGGATTATCTTCCATAACGTACTCATTAGAAGATGTATTTGTATTAGTTAGATAATTGAAAAACAAATTAATCATCATCTAACCTCTGCCTAGTATTTCTCTTAGCTCCACCCAATATTTTCCGTTTTTTAAAGCTACTCTCTCCTTTTGAACTACTTTCATCGTCCAAATCCAAACGTTCAACAATTTTTTCTTTAAATTCTCTAACTTGTGGCTCAGGTTCTACAACCACAGGGCATTCTGGATAATAGAAATCTTGCTGGGGTAATTGCAAATCAACTTCTGTAGCAGCCACTTGCACTGTATGCCATTTGCCATATGGATCGGTTTTGCCTGGTTCTATCAAAGGGGCATATACAGGTGGTGGTGTATCATCTTTTACCCTTCTGGCTTTTAGTTTTTCACGTTCTAATCTGGAACGTTCTTCTTCTTTTGCTTGGTGCTGTTCCTGGGCTTGAACTAAGGCTTCGGTTCTGTTATAGATTTCAACTTCCCTGTATTTCTTAGCTAAGTGTTTGTTTTGGTTTTCTTTTTGTTCTTTCAATGATAAATATCCTTCTGGAGGTGCAGTCCAAACTGTCGCGTTAGTGTCAGTATTCCAATAATAGCTTTTACCATCTTTAGTGACTGCTTCATGCCATACCTTTTCGCTACTTCCACTAGCAATAGCTAGGTTATCTTCTTTCAATTTTTTATTGATAGCAATCGAAGTTAGGTCAGCTGTGGCATTACGTTCAACATCTCTTCGGTAAGCTTCCATTCCAGCATTTTCCATAGCTTTGATGGCAGCGTCCACTTTAAGAGTTTCCCTGAACGCTTTGGCACTGTCTTTTGTAATGTTTTTGAGGCGTTTTTTAACATTATCTTTGTGCTTTTTCCCATTTTCGTGAAAATCTCTACTGGGCTTGTTGTCCGCTATCCAGCATTTGCAAAAATCGCAATACTTGCGGTCTTGGGATTTCCAATAATCTGCCATAATCACTTATGTTTGTAAAATGAATTTAAGTTCAATAAGTTCTATAATTTTCTATCTTGTCTTGTTTATAAACCACAGATGATCTGGGGAAAAATATAATATTTATTAATTATTATTGAAGTTGTTTTGTTTGTTTTCTTTTTCTTTGACACATTTGACAATTAGCTGTCTATTGGCTGAGTTCGGCTTGCTCACTCCGTGCACTCCGAGTGACTCCATTCGCACTTCAGCCGTTCGGGTATTGCTTTTTGGCGTATTAGGGTTGACTCCATTAGCGTTCGACTATACGGAGTGGAGTAAATGGAGTTCACTCCAAAAGTTCCACCTTGGAAAGAGAATATAGAGGCATACGCAGAAGTGAAATTGGAAATTGTCAAAGTCAAGCTTGTTGTGTTGTCACTCTATGGTTGTCACGTTGTGGTTGTTGATTGTTTTTGTGTGTGTGGATGCAGTGGTGGATGCCGGAATTGGTAAAATCATCGAGTAAAATAATTGATCTGATTTTTAAATTTATTAAACATGATGGAAAAATTTCCGTGACAAAGTTAAACAGAGGCGAAAGCATCATATTATTCATTATTGTGGAGGAATTGAAGTTAATTTATAGTACACGAAAGTGACGTTACGAAAGATTAAAGAAAAAAGTGAAAAATTATTTGAAAACTCGAACGTTGGAAAATCATGGTTGACTGTAGTTTGTTGTTTCGAAACAAAACAAATCAGCTGTTTGATATTTTTGCTCCGACCGTTCCGGTCGTTTGTGTATTAATTTTTCACTCGTGTACAAACACAGTGCAAGCAGGTTTCCGCTTACCAGTAACTAGCGCCGACGCCCGCTTATAAGCGCGAAAAATGAATGCATGTTTTCAAATTGGCTAGTACCGCTAGTACACAGTAACAAACAGGTAGAGTACCTGGTTTTCACTGTGTTCTAGCCGATTTGAAAACATGCATTCATTTTTCGCGCTTATAAGCACGAGTCGGCGCTGGTTACCGGTTACCGGTAAGCGGAAACCTTGCACTGTGTTTGTACACTAATCCACCTGCCGTGACGAAAGTCGGTTTTTACTCCACTCCAACTCTGTATTGAATAGCCGAACCCAGCTCTAGTAATTTCTGAGCGCGCTCGAAACGATAAAAATCTGTTCATTTTAGCTCTCAGAGTGTTCTCTTTTGCATTGGGCTATGGCTTCGAAATTTTGACAGGCATGTGACTGGATCAGACAGTTGCGATTTACAAATCACGTGCCTGTTAAAACTTCAGAGTAAATCGACGAAAAAGATGACACAAACGAATAAGGCAAGTGTTTTCGGCTACCCTGCTTTTATTCCGGACAGTAGTGACAGTACTATGAAAAAATAAAATAAGACTTCCTGCAAACTCTGTGAATTCTCCTTGGTTTGCAATAACCGTTTTAAGATAGGTTTGCTGCTGATATCACGACGATAAAATTCTACTTTCATGACGTCACCCGCGACCTATTTATTGCGTACAGTACAGGCAATGATGATGGTTGCTAGGCAGCCTGACGTCATGAAAGTAGAAATCTAGTGGAATTCTACTTGTCGTGATCCCAGCCCAAGGTACCCGGACCGAAATGAAATATCGATTCCGTTACGGTCCACAGCTTCATGACAAATATCAGTTCCGGCGATTCCGGTTTTAGGAGAAATATCTCGATTCGGTTCCGACCCATAATTTCGGTTTTTTCCACAGTGACAAATATTACAGTTCCGGTTCTAAAAGAAATACTTCGATTCTGTTCGGACCAATAATTTCGATTTTAACGGTTCATACCGGTATAGTTTTTCACAAATATCTAACGGAAAAATGTATGTTTCCGTAATTAGTGGACGCCAAAGTACCAGTGATGACGTAGATAGCGTGTCGTTTCTCACCTTGACGTACGGTGTTTGCAAGAACGCGTGTTTGCACCACAGGTTGTTGTTGTTATTGCGCTGGCTTTTAGCAATCCAGACCACGTGATTCAATATGGCCGTTCAGGTGAATTATTGTGGTGACGTTCATTGTCGTTCATAAGGAAAGTATTTGTGTTGCCTTGTTGTAGATGCCGAACATGACAATGCGAATGTCAAACCCAAACGTCCAGAATGTGACAAAATAAGTTATTTTTCATTGATTTTTCACAGTTACCTAAACTTGCTGTAAATGTAAACAACATGGTCTTTGAGTCTTTGACAATCACATTGACAATAACGGCCATATTGAATTTTGTTTGACAGGTCAATGGATTACCTATGGTGCGTACGATTTGTCTGAACCGGTTAGCGTTAGTGCGGTGCCGTTATGTTTTGGAACGCAACCATTGGAAACCACCGGGAATATGGAATGCTAAACGGTACGAATGGTGTAAAAAGTGCAACATTAATGACGGGTCAGGGTAAAAAGTGTCAGTAGTTGGACTTATCGTACGCACCCCTAATTAACATTCTAGAACAACCCTTGTTTAGATCTCGTTTGCATCTTCCTCTTTCCTATTGTGTTAATCAAAATTAAATATATTCATCATCATAAACGTGGTTAATTAACTCGTCGTCATTAGAGAGTTTTCGTGCCGTCCATATTTCAAATACCGTAACGTTATTCGACAAGTATGACAGTTCTTACGGTATTAGCGTTATCGGAGCCCGCTATATCTAACGGAACTTAGGGCGGGTATTATAAAACTGCTTTGACAGTTAACTTGAAGTTAACTTTTTGAATTACATGTAATTCCAGAAGTTAACTTTAAGTTAACTCTCAAAGTAGTTTTATAATACCCGTCCTTAGCGGAAGCCTTACCGTCACGCTATGCTATGTCAAAATTAGTTCACGCTCTAAACTGAGGAATCTTCAGGATAAATAAAAGTTAGAAAACAAATCACCTGAAAAAATGTAAACAGAATAAGGAATTAGAGGATTTATGTATCTTCGTGTCCGAGAACTCTAAAATACCATGTAAAATACCGTATTTTCAGCGGTACCGTATTAGCGTAGTGTGTGAGGCACGAGAACTTTCTACGACTGCTGACGCAACCCGCTAACGACATCGTTGATGACGTCGCCAACGGTGCAGCACCACATGAACTTTTCACAAATCGAGGCCGACGAACAATCCTATCCTGTAGTAGTGTGTAATATCTTTGGTGTAGCCTAGCCGAGTTCAGAAATGCTTACTTTATTTTTTAGAGTGATACATTTATTACGATACGACCAAACAGCAAACAGCCTAATTTATGAAAACTTGAAACCGAAAAATACCGGTAAGAACCGATTAATTTATTCGGTTCCGGTTCTGCCTGCCGTACAACATTTCCATGAAATTCATTCCGGTCCGTAAAAAAAATCAGGTTCCGTTCCGGTTTTCGGTTCAATATCGTTCCGGTCCGGGTCCTTGGTTTTAACGGTTCATACCGGTATAGTTTTTCACAAATGTCTAACAGAAAAATGTTTATTTCTGTAATTTGTGGTTTATTTTTTATTGGATTTCTCTGCTTATCTGCAACCATCCTTGATCTGCAGTGCTCACATAAAATCAATAACAGGATGCATATATCCTTTATGAGATTTACTGGCCGTATTATGACACACGGAAAAGTTGGAAAATACAAACTGTAAGTGGTTTTTTATTGCCATTTGAATAGACCTTCAAATTAAATATTATTATAGAAATAAATAAAAATCTCGAGAAAAATTACAAAGCCCTCACCACGCCAAAGTACCAGTGATGACGTTACATCGTGTCGTTTCTCGCCTTGACGTAGAGTGTTTGCACCACAGGTTATGATTGCGCTGATTTTTGCATTATGCTTATTTGCTTTTAGTACATTATTTAACATTCTAATAGCGATTTCCATTTGTCGAACCAGTGCACAAAAAATGTATCCTTATCCTTATATGTTATATATTTTTAGATAAAGATGCGGATACACTCAGTGCGCACTGATTGACAAAAATGGCCATAAAACAACCCAATTGTTTATTCTCATTTTTCTACAACTGTCAAAAAATGATGTTTGCACACTGATGACAATTTGCGAAGTGACACTTTTTTTTTCAGCTAGATTTTTTTTAACGTTCCCATATGACACCGTGATCAAAATGATTCTCCAGTGTGCGAAATGCCTAGTTCGCACACTCAGGTAACAAATACCTGATACCTGACAGGAAACCAAAAATAATTAAAATTCATCTGCCTTTGATTGAAAATGCAATTTTAGCTTTGAATGATCGATATTTAAATGAAGTTGTAGAAAAAATATTGTTTGCAACTCGTGCGCGAAATACTTTGGTGATCTCGACTATTTTTAGTTCTCGATCACAAGCATTTCGCGCTCTAGATACAAAAATAATGATTGAATCTTCCTCTTTGCCTATTATATTATGCTAATCAAAATTAAATAATATTTTCCATAATAAATGTACGGGCCGGTTTCTCAATAGCGAGTCACCTTCGGGTTGGTTTTAACTCCAGGTTAAACGTGTCCAGTTGCAATGTTTACCCTGGCGTAGGGCCGGTTTCTCAATAGTGAGTCACCTCTGGGTTAATTTTAACTCCATGGTAAGCGTGTCGAGTTGCTATGTTTACCCGGAGTTATGCTTAACCCGGGGGTGACTCGCTATTGAGAAACCAGCCTGTAAGGTGTTATACTTAACCCTGAGGTGACTTGCTACTAAGAAACCGGTCTTATAAGACCGCTGGCGCAAGTCGCTAACGACACAGTTGATGACGTCAGCAACGATGAAACACCATATAAACTTGATTCCAAAAATCGAGGCCCGTGAGCATTCCCGCAGCCTTATTCTGTAACTTGCGACCGCCGAGAATTGCGCAATTGTCGCTGTCAAGTCGCTGTCAAACGCGAGTTTTCTATTCAAAAAAAGCAACTTGCGACCGGTTGCTGGTTACTATGTAGTTGCTGTTCGTAGAGAATAGGCCTGCTGTAGTAGTATGTAATGTGCAATATTCTTGGTGTAGCCTAGCCGAGTTCAGAAATGCGCGCTTTAAAACGCTCTGTTTTTTAGAGTGTTTTTATTACGATACGGCCAAACAGCAAACAGCCTAATTTATGACGTGATCTTGAAACTGAAAAATACCGGAAAGAACCGATAAAGTTATTTTCCTAACAAGTGCGCAAAGTGTTACTTTTCCGCACGCAAAGACAGTTATACGAACGACGCGAAGCGGAGTTCGGATAAGTGTTTGCGTGCGGAAAAGACACTTTGCGCACGTGTTAGGAACAACATTTTTCCTACGAGCTTCATATCAGGTAGGTAACAACAAAAATTTATAAAAAAAACGAAAATTTGTTCAATTATTTTCAATTAACTTGAAGCGAACCTATTCATTCATCCAAAAATTACATAACAAAAAACCAGAAAATTGAAATCCTCGTCAGAGCTGTTCATCTTAAAGCGTTTAAATTTGATGCAAAAGAAGTTTGTAGATTCTTTTGCATGTAAATGGAGAACACAAATCTGACAATGTGTCAAAGTTAATTATATTCAGTGTTTGTTTAAATGTTGGCTGATATATAAACAGAGGAAAAATTTGTCATCATGTGTCAAAGTCGACAGGTGCACTTATTGTTGCTTGACAATTATATTTACTTTTCCGCACTCAGTGCGGATAAGGTCCGTATCCGCACTGAGTGCGGAAAAGTGTAACTTTGAGAACGGAAATGCGTGCGGAAAAGTACTACTTTGCGCACGCTCGTAGGAAAAAGTTATATCGGATCCAGTTCTGCCTGCCTTAAAACATTTCTAGGAGATATGAGCCGCTTTCCAGTATTGGAGTGTGACGCTGGGAGCTACTTAGAGCGTTGAGCCTCCGAGCTATACTTACGGACAAACGTCACACGTCATGATACTAGAACGGTACAAATCTAGTGCGTGGCGCTCCCGGGGTGCTCTAGAGCGCGCCAATGTGCATACTGGAAAGCAGCTCTGGGTTTCGTTCCGGTTTCGGTGCGCAAAAAAAAAAAAAAAAACGATTCTGTTCCGGTTTTCGGTTCAAAATCGTTCTGGTCCGGCTCGGTGTGATCGGTGCAAACGGCCATAAACCGACTACATTTTATTGGTGACGCCATACGTCATTTTTTCAGTAAATCAGTACACTGCATTTTAATTTTGGAACGCTTCCCAGTAAATACAGTACTGACAGTTGAAAAAAGAACACAGCCCTTATGGGCGTGTTTCGGTTGACGCTCGGCGGAGCGAGCAGAGCGATTACGGAGTAACGTGACGTCACAGGGAGTACACCGTGTCAAGCCAAATAAACTCGTGCAAAAGTGCTGGGTTGAGCGATCAGCTGATTAATGTTTATTTCTTTTTAGGATATAGTTTTTAGAGTCTGAACCCGCATTCCGCATTTGCAGCAGAGTTTTCTCGTTTGTTTTTTATTTTAGTCGATAATTTTCAAACAACCCCACTTTCTTTTGTGCTCTGCTAAAAATGTCGTCCTACATAAACAATAAAACGGACCTAAACACTCTGAGGTTGCCAAGTTCCCTTGGAAAAATATGTTTACTAATACCAGTGATGAGGAGTACCGAGAAAATTTAATTAAAATAAACAATTATGCAGAATTTACTAGCTATTTGATTGTTACCATTTAAACAAAATAGGTAAAAGTATCCAGGATTGAACACATCTGATCTGCGCATGCACGCTCCAGCTGCCCACTCCACAAACTTGGGGTTTATCGAGCTCGCTCTGAGCGCTCAAAATATGTCAAACCAAACACAATCAAGCGTTGTCGGAGCTTCAAAAATAACGGAAAAGAGACAAAAGTGCAAGCTCTGAGTGCACAAAGCGTGAACCCAAACGCGCCCTATATTGAGACACTGTCAGATGTCAAAATACGCACAAACCAAAGCTGTTTTCTCGCGGTGGAATTGGTTCGACCCGGTTCAATTAGGTTCGAACCTGTACATTCTTGCGTTGAACCAGTGACGTCACATTGAACCTGGTTCAAAAAAGTTCGAACCGGACTCATGGCTTGTTCTCCGTTGACATAAGACTGTGGTTCAAACCTTTTATTTTCTCGCGTTCACAAGTGATGACGTCATCAACAAATTGGTTTAAACCGTAGTTCGAACCATTCGCTCCGCGAGAAAACGCCTTTAGTAGCCATACATCTTAAGGCCCGTTTATATAGTCCAAATTCAATAGAGGTTTAATTTTTTGACAGGCATTTTTAAAGGGATTTCAAGTACGGAGAGTGGTACGGAGACGACTGAGCTTTATTAGAGCTCTCGAAGTTTTAATAAACGTACTTCAACGAGCCTGCACCGAACACTCTTTTTAAATAAACGAACGATAAATTCCTGCTCAGAGCTATTTAGGCTGGGTTCGGCTTGCACACTCCGTGAACTCCGAGTGACCCCGTTCGCACTTCAGCCGTTCGGGTATTGCCTTTTAACGAATCAGACAACGGCTGGAGTGCGAACGGAGTCACTCGGAGTGCACGGAGTGTGCAGCCGAACCCAGCTTTAATTGTTGTGTCAATGTCAAAATTGTCAAGAAGTTAATCCACTAATGAATGACAAATGACAGGACATGATCCAGCAGGCGATAAACAAAAATTGAAAAATCCAGTAGAAATCTCCAGTTTCCAGTTTTTATAAAGATCAAGATCTAAAATTTATTTAGCTGATAATTATTAGTAATAACAAAATGTCTTTTAACTTCGGAACTCCGCCTAATACAATGGCACCGCCTAATGCAACTGCACCGCCTAAAGCCGCTACAGGATTCACTTTACCCTCTTCGACCCCAGTTTCAGGTAAAATTTTTCTTTATGCATCATAACCTCAAAAATAAAAACAAACTTTTATCAGCCTATTTATCGTTATCTTGGCTTAACATATACATTGAGACATAACTTTCAGCTGCCTCAGGTGCTCCAGGCGGTGGGTTCGCGTTCAACTTAAGCCAAACACCCGGTGCAGGTGACAACAAACAAACACCCTCACTATTTTCCCAATTTAAACCTGCTACACCAGCAACACCAACTGGCTTGAATTTCAATTTAGGACAAGCACCTAAAACAGCTGCACCCACTTTATCATTTGGAACACCCACTGCTCCTGCAACAACTGGCGCTACAGCAGGATTTGGTGGTTTTGGATTGGGAACTGCAGGTAAGCGTAAGTGAATAGTATTCCTTACTTTACAATAAGTTATAAAATTTATCCAAAAAGTTAACTTTCCAAGTACACAACATGGTTTTTCTACAAACGTCACTAAAAGTGTCATTTTTAACGGACATTGTCAGTGTCTAAAATGCCATTTTATGACACTGGTGTTAAAAGTGATAGTGCTAAAAGTAATCACTTTTAGTGCGTTTCTAGAAAAAATAAATAAATAAATAAATAGTCTTTATTTCCAACAGGTACTTAAACCCACTTACAGGAAATTTTATAAATATAAATAATAAATAAATTGGTAGTAAATAACATAAACAGTAATTACAAATTGAAGTTAATTTTAAGAAAAAATAAAAATAAAATAAAATAATAAAAAAGAATGAGAAAAAAAGTGATAATGCAATAATGGCAAAATACTAATTATAATAATAAATAAGAGGTTATGTCAAGTCTTGTTTACATTTTTGTTTTTAAAATATTTTAATGTTTTTTGAATTGAATAAGTGGTTTTAATTGGTGAATTGTGCTTCTGTTCTGTTCTTGATCCACGGAGGGTTGAAGGAACTTAGAAAACGCCAAGAAATTACCTGTTTTTATACAAAATATATAAAAGAATATATTTTCTAACCTCTAACCAGCAACATGGCAAACAAATGTTATAAATGCAATTTGGATTGTGTTTTTAAGGAAGATAAGACAAATTCAAATATTTTTGGCTATCCTTGCGATGTATGTAGCAGGGTAATATGTCAAAACTGTAATAAAACACAGGCCCAAGAAGTGAGAGTGATACCAAGTCAAACTCGAACATTGGTTCATATGTGCCCTGAATGTCTGCAAGACCTCAAAAATGTGCCAAAGCTAATGAAATTGGTAAACAATCTTAAAACAGAGGTAAATACGCTTAATGGTAAAGTTGCAACATTGGAATCTAGAATTGATACAGGGGGGCAAACGGATGAAATAGAACAAGTGGCCCAACTTGGGAAAAAGATTGCTGAAGTAAATGTTCATGATACCTGTTACAGGGATACTGCGACTAATGGAAAAAATGAAACTACTGATGTCATTAAGCAATACTTGCATGAACAATCGGAACAACTAACAAACAAACTGGATTCTGTTGTGAGTGCCATTAAGAGTGCGAATAAGGATCTTGTAAGTTTTTTAACCACATCAGATGACTTTCAAGCACAAAATAAAGCACAACCTAAAAAAAAAGATGTACTAGTTTTGAAAAACAATAGTACTGAGGAAAATAAGGCTTTGAATAGTAAGATGCAGCCTACACTAGAACTAAAAGCTTCAAGTGGATCAAACTCTGCGTCTGGAGCTAGTGGTAGAATTTGTTCTGGGCCTGAACGTCCTAGTCTAAAAGTGGCGAATAAAAACATAGGTGAAAGAATGGTAAAACTTAGTTGGGTTTATCTCTCCAATCTAGATATTGAAACAAAACCAGATGATATTCTGGCTGTACTCGACCCTAAGTTTACTCATATTTACCAGTGTCATAAGCTACCCTCAAGATTTGAAAATCCTAATAGTGCAGCCTTCAAACTGGGTATTCCTGAAGAACTGGAAGAAAAGTACCTTTCCACGAACTTTTGGCCTGATGGCTGTGTTGTTGGCCGATATAAAAATGTGGGTCAGGACAATCGTGGAAGATCCAAAGGTTTTTATCGGACCCATAAAAATTTTTCACAACCAATGCATCGCCGGAACTGGAAGTAGAGATGCCAAATCACAGTCAGTCCTCGTATGAACTACCTAGCACAGATATTGATGTAAGCTCTCTGAAAGTTGTTCATATAAACCCCTGGTCGATCTGCAATAAATTTTCTGATATCAAATATTATATTCTCCAATCTGATTTTGACATTGTTGCAATTTCGGAGACATGGCTAAATACCGACATACCCTCTCATTTATATGCTATAGAAAATTTTACATTATACAGAAACGATAGGACTGGTAGGGGAGGGGGTGTTGCAATCTATGTTTCCAGTAGGTTGCACATAGTGTCAATCATAACTCCAGATATGGATAATGGAATAGATGTGCTCTGGGTTACCTTTAAACACAACAAACTGTGTGCCAGTGTGGGTGTTGTTTATCGCCCACCTTCTGTTCCATATGCAGGGTTACAGTTCCTTTATGATATGCTACCTGATATAATTTTTAAATGTGATATCTGTGTGTGTATGGGAGACTTTAATATAAATTTTTTGCCTCAGGCTGGTGTGGATTATACATTTCTCTGTGATATTTTTACTTCATTTAATTTTAGTCAACTAATTAAAGATCCAACTAGAATTGCGCCAAACCATGAATCTCTAATAGATTTAATTTATGTAAACAAACCTGAACTGATTATCGATGGTGGCGTGGTACCATGTGACCCTATACAAACCGACCATGAGGCTGTTTATTGTTCTTTGAAGTTTGAAAAGCCCAGACATGTTAATAAGATTGTAGAAAGTAGAAGCCTAAAAATGGCACACACTGAGCAATTTCAGGCAGAATTACGGAATATAGATTGGCATAACCTTTATGTTTCTTGTGATATTGATGTTAAGGTCCATATTTTTAATAGTAGTTTCTTAGATTTGTTTGATGTGTATTGTCCTCTCAAAAAAATTGAACTGAGGAAATCAAAACCTCCCTGGCTTACATATAATTTAAAAAAAATGATTGAACTAAAACATAAAGCATTTTCTAAATATAAAACAATAAGGTCCTTTGAAAGTAAACAGTACTACCTTCAGCTAAAAAATTATATAGCTCATGCAGTTAAGGCCGAAAAAAAGGCATATTTTTCAAAAGAATTAAATGAATGTACTGGTACAAATAAAAGCAAGCTAATTTGGGATAAAATGTCAAAACTGAATATTACACCTAAAAACACTAAAGATATTCTAAATAATTTTAGAGAACCTAATGTAATAAATAATCATTTTTTGGATAATATACCTCAAACTAGTGTTGATCTAGAAGTCTTAAATTGTTTCCTCGGTTTAAGTGCAGATTGGGAGCCATTTCATTTTAACCTTGTGACTGATGATGATATTTTAGCATGTATTAAAAGTATTAAAAGTAATGCTATTGGTGTGGATCAGATCTCTATAAAAATGTTAAAAGTATGTTTACCATATTGTCTGGGGCCACTAGTAAATATTATAAATTTTTCCTTACAAACTGGTATGGTTCCGAGCATCTGGAAAATGGCTCTCATCACCCCGCTTCCTAAGGTAAATAATCCTTCGGGCGTTAATGAATTGAGGCCAATAAGCATACTGCCTGCTGCCTCAAAAATTCTTGAAAAGGTGGTTAAATGTCAGATTGTGCAGTTTTTGTCTCTTACAAATATACTACCAAAATTTCAGTCTGGTTTCAGATCACATTATAGCTGTGCCACTGCCTTACTTAGAATAACTAGTGACATTTCGGCTGCTTTCGATCAGTCACATTGTTGTCCCTCAGTTTTGGTAGACATGACTAAAGCATTTGACAGTTTAGACTTAAATCTTCTACTTGCAAAGTTACAGTATTATAACATTGGGGAGCAGGACTGGCTCAGAAGTTACCTTTGTGAGAGACAGCAGGCAGTTAGACTGGCTGGGGTTGAAGGAGTGATTCTGTCTGATTGGAGAGTTGTGACGAGGGGAGTACCACAGGGATCTATTCTCGGTCCACTTCTTTTCACAATCTTCGCATCAGATCTTGTAGAGCGAATATCTCACTGTAAATATCACATGTATGCAGATGACCTTCAAATTTATCTTCCAACATCCCCGGCTGATCTTTCTGACACTATTGAAATGATCAATGTGGATCTACAAAATATATCAGAATGGACTTCTGATAATTCTCTTCTTATAAATCCCAACAAAACACAAGCTATACTGTTTTCGCGGACCGATATTGATTTATCTTCTCACCATATTACCCTTAACGGTGTTGCAATTGAATGGGCCGATGAAGTGAAGAACCTCGGACTATATATGGACAGAAAACTTTCATTTAACTCACATGTTAGTAATATATGCCAAAGATCATATTACAAATTAAAACTTATCTATGAATTCAAAAACACACTTTCATCTAATGTTAAAAAACTCTTGACTGAAAGTTTGGTGCTGTCTATTCCGGGGTATCTAGATGTGGTTTACGGGCCGTTCCTTACAAATCTCAATAAGTATAGAGTACAAAAAGTGCAGAATGCTTGTGTGCGGTACGTGAGATGTTTGTGTAGAAGGGAACATGTAAGTAACCATGTTGTTGAAGTATTTGGGCATGGTATGGCTCAGAGACGATATATTCATCTGGGATGCCAAATACACAAAACTTTGAAATTGAAAGAACCTGCATATCTAACCGAGTTAATAATTCAGCGAGGTGATAGGCACCAGGTGAATGTTCGTTTCAGAGATGCCATATCAATTCCACATCATCGTACCGAATTTTTTAAATCTTGTTTCACATATCTGTCTGCCCAGATTTACAACTCCCTTCCTCATAATTTCAAGGGTCTAAGTGTTTATTCTTTCAAAAATAATTTAAAACGCTTTGTGTCGGATAGATCACTCAGTCTTTAATTTTAAATTGGTGCCTACTGCTAATTGCTTTGTAATGCTGGACCTTTTTTTTTGTGATATTGTTTTTATTATTATTTTTATTTATTGTAACTAATGTTTATCTCTGTTGTTAATTTTAACTTCTAATTTTAAGTGTTTAAGATTTTATTATTATAGCAAAGGGTGGTTATTAAAATACGCCTGGCGGTACTTTCCACCTTTGTATGGTAATTTTTACATGCAATAAAGATTATTTTATTTTATTTTTATTTATAACAAATTAAAATACTAATTATAACAATAGCAATATCAGTAAAAGCGTCATTGGGAATACTAACAATACGACCACAATAATATAAGCAGCGGCACCATTAGCAATAATAACATCAACAGAAGCAAAAAATCAATCACTCTACACGTAAGAGAGACTCAATAATACTATTCAGCGTGTCAGCATGTATATCACATTGATGAGACAGTGAATCGAAGACTGTACACATGAAATATATCGGACACTGCATAAGGATATTGGATCTTGCTGCGCTGAGATAGAAAGCTGAAGCGTGCCGAGACTCGGGGCGAGGAACACGGAATGGCAACTCCCCAAGAAGAAACGGGCAATCGGTTGTATTATGAGTGAGACCATACAATAATTTGAGGCTCTGAATTTTCCTTCTTGTCATTAAAGATGGCAAATTGAATCTTTGTAGGAGCAGTCTGTGATCGCAACCTCTTGGGGGGTACACACCATCTTCTTTAAAAGCTAGGTACTTCAAAAAACGTCTTTGCAACGACTCAATGGCCTGTATATGGCAGTTATAAATAGGGTTCCAAATTACCGCGGCATATTCCAGCCTCGATCTAATGAACGCGCTATACAATAATATGATAGTGGGTATGTCCGAAAAATATTTACAGTTTCATATGAGAAAACCAAGTGACCTGGAGCAAACTGAGATAAGGTTAGCAATTTGGGGTATAAATGTAAGTTTAGTCGAACAAAACAACAAAATGCCCAGGTCTCGAATGGCATCCTCAGGCCTTCCCAACGCCTCACCATCGAAAGCATACTCATAAATCGATGGATTATTCTTGCGACCAAAACTAACAACAAAACATTTTGATACATTTAGTGCAAGTCTGTTATTAAGACACCATCCATATAATAAAGACAAATTCTGTTGAAGATAGTCACAGTCTGATGCGGCATCAATTCTATTAAACAATTTCAAATCATCGGCATATGCCAGCCTCGGACACTTAATAGCATCGAGAAGATCGTCTATGAAGATTAGGAAAAGCAGGGGTCCCAAATTGGATCCCTGTGGCACTCCCGAAGAGACGACATATGGCGATGACCGGAAATGCTCATATTCAACAAACTGAGTGCGTCCAAATAGATAAGATTTCAACATTAGCAAGAGTGATTGCGACACGCCAAAGTTCTCGAGTTTACGAAGCAGTATATAAAGGTCAATTTGTTCAAAAGCCTTCTGGAAGTCCGTATAAATGACATCCAATTGACCCCTTGAGTCCAGTGTCTCACAGGCGACCTGGGACAAGGACGCTAAATTGGTCGTGCAAGAGCGCGAATCCAAAAAGCCGTGCTGATAAGGAGAAAGAAGGTTTCTAACCTTAGGATACAGTTTGTTGTAAATAATAATCTCAAATAGCTTAGAGAAGTTACAAAGGATTGAGATGGGTCTATAATTTTTTATTATTGTGTTGTCGCCCTTCTTGAAAACAGGTATAATTTTTGCCGTTTTCCAGGTATCTGGAAAAATACCTTTAACAACAATTAAGTTGAAAACATGCATAAGTGGAGCAGAAAGGACACCAATGCAGTCTTTCACTATGAAGCTGGGTATTCCATCAACACCGGATGTCAACTTATCCTTTAGCCTTTTACTGGCAGCTATAATGTCCTGAAAAGTTATTGATTGTATATTTATTATATTCGAGTTTAGCATGGCGGATTCAGTGTCATTGTAAGGAGAAGAATTAATGTATACACCTCTAAAATAATTTGCAAATGCATCAACAATGCTCTGAGGATCCGCGTACTCACTGTTGTCGTCCCTCAAGTTACCAGGAATGCCAGTATGTCCCTTTTTACTTTTTACAAATGTCCAAAAGGCTGAAGGGTCAGAGGCTATGTTCATTTCAGTGTTTCTTATATACTCTCTGTACGCAAGGTCACTTTGAGTATGAATAAGACGTCTAAGCGTACAAAGTCTTTGGTAGTAAAACTGTGTTTTATGTTGTTTATAATTTTTATGTGCTTTCTCTTTTTTGTATATATTTTTTATTAAATCGCTCGAGAACCAAGGCGGGAAGCGACGGCGGCGTTTGACCTTTGACGGAACGCAAGATTCGAATATGTTCCCAATTATTTGGTTAAGTGTTACACAGCAAGTGTTGACATCTGTACATTCAAGTACTGGTAACCAGTCAGTTTCCAGCATCAAGTTATATAAACGCCGAATATCGGCTTTCCTGAAGTTGAACTCCCTAGGACTATTTTTATTAATAGGAAAATTATTAATCGATGGATGCCTAGCATTAAAAGTTATGAAAAGAGATGGATGATGAGTGTCCTCATCGACTAATGGTGCATCACCGTAACGTACTATGTCGCAAGCTATATTTGAAAATACCAAATCCAGCAATCGACTATTTACATTAGTAACACTATTTGCTTGTTTCACATTCAAAACATTTGCCAAATTATAAATTAGGTTACATTTGGGATCGATATTATTATTGCTCACACAACTAGGTATGTTAAAATCTCCCAAAATAATTAAATTGCTATCAAACAAATCATTTACAGTCAGTATGCAGTCCACAAATTCCTCCAAATCAGCTGCACTGATGTGTGGTGGGATATACACAAGTATTAAATAAACGACAAAAGAATTAAAGTTTATTTTACAACCCACAACATCCACAGCAGAGGCACTGCTATTTAAAAACGTAAGATCGAGTCTCTGAGAAGTCCAGCGGCGATTTACGGCCAGCACGACCCCTCCACCTCTAGAGAGTCCCGTAGCTCGAAAATCACGATCTGACCGAAACACGGAGTAAACAAGGAGAAACAGTTCAGCATCGAACACTTCTGGCTTCAGCCACGATTCAGTCACTGCAATGATGTCCATATCACAAGATGATACGCCATTAAGAAATACGTGCGTTTTGGTGTTAAGGCCACGCACATTCTGATAATAGCAAGATATATAAGTGGATTGCACTGTTGGAACACTCAGTTTTTTGAGAGTATCCTAGGTCTACCCTTGGAATACCCTATAACTAGGTTCGCTTCGCCATTTGCTCGGCGACGTCTCAGTTCATCCTGTAGGGATTTCAGCTCGGCTCTTTGTGAGATTGTTTGGTCAGCCTCAATGTAAATGTGATGGTCTTTAATTATTTTTCCTCTGTTTTTCAAGACGTTATGAACGGACTGTCTGTCCTGAAGAATGACTTTCATTGCTTGACGACCGTTTCGATTGGGTTTTCCGACTTTAATGACATTCAAAACGCTTATAGTTTGGGTACATGCCTCACTGAGAACTCCTGAAAGAGATGTGTCATCATCACCAACATTGAGGCTGCAGTTGAAAATCATAATATTATTAGCGCGTTCCTGCCTCTCAGCTATCTCAGATAATATTTCTTCATTAGCAGAGTATGGAGTGGCAGAGTTAACCACCTTTGAATCGCTGTTTACTGTGTTAGCGCTCTGCTCCAATCTTGTGAGTCTCTCATCAAGCTTTATTATTTTTTCAATGGTATCACTATTTCCCTGTTGTTCAGTCTGACTACAAGAACTCTCCACAACTACAACCCTACTTTCCAACAGTTCAAATTGCTCTTTAGTCTTCAAATGACGATCATTAATCAACGTCTCGAGCTGTGTTAGGCGCTTGATAATAGTAGGAATGTTGAACATATTTTCTCTGCATGCGGGGCACATAAATGGCATAGTTCTGTTTACCATTGATACCACTCTGACTTCTGAGGCAGAGAGGTTACCGCAGGTTTTACATATTATTCGCTTGCACAAGTCGCAAGGATAACCGAAGAGCTCATTTTTTATTTCTTTGAAGACGCAATGGTTTTTGCACTTAAAACATTCTCCGCCACTGCTCATGATGACAAATTAAATTATGGGAGTAAGTTATAATGTATTCACTATATGCGAAAACTCTCTTTGCCGAAATCTTTTATCAAAACACAAATAAGCTTCTATTGTTAAGACATGAAGGCAAAAAAAAAGAGAGGATAGAAATATTTATGTTAAAAAATTTTATGGCTGGCGAGCACAGAAAAATAGTGTACGATATTCGTGCTAAAAGTGATTTTATTTTGTTCAAAGGGAACAACTCCGTCTTCGGCGTCGTTTCCCACACTTCCCTTTTCATAAAATAAAATGTCACTTTTAGCACTTATATCATAAATAACTATTTATTAGGTCCAGCTCCTGCTTCTGTAACATCTACAGCTGCAACCAGTGTGCCAGGACTTCAGTTCAGCTTCAGTTCACCAGCTTCTGCAGCTGCAACAACTGCCACAACTACTTTCACTCCTATTGTTGGTTCCACTGCAACTAGCACTATAAATGTTCCAGCAACAGGTAATTTTCGTCATTTTAGTTTTTTTTTTATCAATAATGTTTGTTATTTGTTACTGCAGCTCCAACTTCCAGTGCTCCAAAGCTGGGATTAGGTGTTGCACCTACTACTACTACTCCGGCAACCACAGGATTTTCTTTGGGTTTAGGTAGTACAGCTGCCACTACAACAACTGTGTAAGTAATGCTTACATGAAACTGCATAATTTACATTAACTAACAATAATTTCTGGCTATAGTACTTCAGCTCAGTCGACAACTTCTACAGCAGCCACTACAACCACTGGATCACTGACTTTTGCCCAATTAGAAGATGCAATCAACAAATGGACTATTGATTTGGAAGAACAAGGAAAATTCTTTATCAATCAAGCTAAGCAGCTTAACGCTTGGGACACTTTATTGATTTCAAATGGTAATTAGTTTTTTCTAACACACAAGTTTTTGGTTTATACATACATCGACACTGTCTAAAAAATTTTTGAAAATTGTTTCAAGAGTCTAATTTTATCACAGACAAATGAGGGATGTATGTAGTTGCAGAACTCACATTATCCACTTTTGACCAAAAATGAGTTAGTGATACTACCGAGGGTACTATTTTATTTGTTTATTTCAGGTGACAAAATTCTGAATTTGAACACCAACATTGTAAAAGTACAGCAACAACAATCCCAACTAGATCAGGAATTGGATTTTATTAGTGCTCAACAAAAAGAACTGGAAGAACTCCTGGTGCCACTAGAAACAGAATTAATGGATGTTCCTGCGACTGATATCAACAGGAACCAAATGTTAGTGCATTAATTTTCGAAAAAATCAATAAAACAATAATTCGAAATTGTTTATTACAGGTATCAGTTTTCAGAAATAATTGATTCACAGCTTAAACAAATTTCTGATGATCTAAAAGAAATCGTTGAAATAATTAATGGTTCAAATAAAGACCAGGACACTTCAAATCCAGTAAGTATTGCAATGTATGTTACATTATATTTTTCAAACTATGATAATGTTTTTTTTTAAGATTCAGCAAGTAAGTAAAATTCTGAATTCTCATATGCACTCCTTACAATGGATCGAGAAAAATACCTCAGAAATTAGTAAGCAAATTGAAGAACTTTCCAAGATGGATGAAAACACTAGAAAAAACATCAGTTTTAATGGTTCTAATTTGTATCAGTGATTTTTAGGCTGAAATAATATTGTATTTTTTTTAAGGGAATAATTTTTTCATCTCTAAACGTTTTTTTATTTGTAAAAAGAAGCTATATTTGTAATGATAATTATCAATAAACAATCATTAATATGGACAGCATGATTTTTTTGACAAGGTATAAGCAATAAGGTATAAGAATCACTTCAATGACTTTCAGCTCGAGCGGCATATAAAAAAAAAACCAAAGTCTACTAAATACTTTACCGCAGACTATGCAGCAGTAACTTCTACCGCATAGTGTGCGCCACAAACTGTGCGGTAAAGTGCGTATATTTTCCACTTGTCTTGCAAATAATTTCGGTGGAGTGCACTTTACCACAAGCTCGTAGGTAAAATTAAACTGAACAAAATGCCATTATCTGTTGCATATTCCGTGCATTCGGTATTTTGATCTGAGTTCTCCGATCTAGAATTTACGGTTCGTTTATTTGAAAAGAGTGCTCGATGCAGGCTCATTTGCGTTCGTTTATTATTTAAAACGCTCCGAGTCGCTTTCCAGTGACGCACTTTGAGTGTTCTAATGACGATAGCTGTTTCCAAAGTGGTCATGAAACTATAGTGTGACCTTTCAACAAAAGATCATTGGTTAAGGGCCCATTTGTACAGTCCTAAGTTCAAATAGTGGTTGAAGTGGTTCAGTTGAACTTTACTCGTACTTGAACCTTGAACTTTCCCCTTTATGCATTATGTCAAAAAATTGAACCACTCTTTGATTTTGGACTTTACCACCGGCCTTAAGGATAATACCATTTAATACACACTACTAGGGGTCGGTTTTTCAATAGCGAGTCTCCTCTGGGTTGGTTCTAACTCTAGGGTAAACGTATGTTTAACCTGGAGTTACGTTTAACCCGGGGGTGAATAGCTATTAGTTGTATTCCTTTCAAGAGTTTAAAACACTAGAGCTACTCGCTCCGGTGTTAGTCGACCCCGATTTGAAAGGAACAGATACGCTGGCTTTCATGCATTTAAGGGCGGGTATTATAAAACTGCTTTGACAGTTAACTTGAAGTTAACTTTTTGAATTAGGGCGGGTATTATAAAACTACTTTGAGAGTTAACTTAAAGTTAACTTCTGGAATTACATGTAATTCAAAAAGTTAACTTCAAGTTAACTCTCATGCCTGTATGCACCATTTTCAGGTATTTTCGTAATTAGCTAATCAGGGCTAATTATGTAATCACGGTTAAAAAAGTCGATTCGATGTACCAAAGGATTTTGCATTTGCCTGGTATGCACCATTACACAAATTCTCTGATTAAACTTTAGCCGTGATCACATAATATTTTTCGTATGCACCAAGCGTTTTTTTCGCCTAATCGGCAATTAACTTAAATCGCTCGATGGCCTGGAATTTAGGATAACCGCGGCTATAATGAAATGAGGTTAGAATGTTTTGTTTTGTTTTTACATTTTAAAAACATTTTTGTCCCCAAAAAATTACTGAAAAAATAGTGTGTGGTGAGGGTGAGCAGGGAGAAATCAAATAAGGAATATGGAGATGGACCACCTATTATTTGACGAGGATTTAAATAATGATTGTGTAGATGGGCTTCCAACGCGTTGGAATGAGACGGAAAATTATTTTGAAGCCTTGGATGGATGATCTTATAAACCAATAGTCGTAGATCTTCCTGAAGAGATGGAAGATGCCCTAACTTTTGATAGGGTGGTAGTATAATATGCAATTTTATGGCTTGATTTCAGTAACTAATGACTATGTAATTACGGTAATTACTGTTTATTTCAAATAAAATGCCCAGGATGCTTTGTTTGTTTGTGTATACTGTATACCTAAAATTTATTCATCGAAAAAAACGCAGATATGGGGTCTCGCCAACCCAAAATTGGCTATTATCAGGGCCAAATACTGGAACTGATCTTCACAGTGGGAACTGATCCACTGCAAAATAAACGGTCCGGTCCAAGTTCGAGTTCAAGTCCGGACCACTTTTGCGTTGTCTACGTTGTACGGACTCGGAGTCAAACTCGAACTAATCGGATCACGCCGCGCGGGCCAGTGGAACAGGAAAAAGTGTGGACTCGGAGTAGGGACACAGATTCAGAGACGGAGTACATTACACCGACAGACTCGTTTCGATCAACAGCTCCGGATTGTCGAGATCACGCCGCACCGGTGCGGCCGCTGGAACGGATAGAGTACGAGAGTGAACCGCCGATAGGATATAAAGCTGCTTTCCAGTATGTAGCTGTATTCCTTTCAAGAGTTTGAAACACTAGAGCTACTCGCTCCGGTGTGTCAACCCGATTTGAAAGGAACAGATTCGCCGACTTTCGTGCATTTATGGTTTACTTTGGGCTTGAGTACTCAGGTGCAACAAACACTTTTCGGAAGGAATAAGCGCGTAACGCCCCGGAGCTGTTCCGGAGCTCCTCATACTATTCACCATTTTCACGTATTTTCGTTATTAGCTAATCACGGATAATTATGTAATCACGGTAAAAATGTCGATTCGATGCACCAAAGGATTTTGCACTCAAATTAGTTAATTGTGATTTTGTAATGAGGGCCACCTGAAAGGAACTCACCGATAACGTCGCAAATTTTCTATAGATTTTAATAAAAGCCCATTTTGGGTTGGCGGTATGTGGGGTTGGCGAGACCCATTCTGCGTTTTTGTCGATGAATTTTAATTTTATAAACAAACAAACAAAACATCCAGGGCATGTAGGGCATTTTATTTGAAATAAACAGTAATTACATAGTCATTACCTAGTTATTGGAATCAAGAATCAAGTCATAAATTTGCATAGAATGTAGGTACTACACCCTATAATAATGATAGGGCATCTTCTACCTCTTCAAGAAGATCTATGATCTACGACATTGGCTTATAGTCTATAGATCAGATCATCCAAGGCTTCAAAATAATTTTCCCTCTCATTCCAACGCCTTGGAAACGGAAACCCATCTAACACAATTTCATTATCCAAATTAATCATTGTCAAATAATGTCTCTCCACCTCCATATTCCTGATTTCAGTTCTTTTTTTTCCTGGCTCACTTCACACAAATTTGTTCCAGTTTTTTTTTTACAAAAATGTTTGTAAAATGTAAATATGAAATTTGAAATCGGAACCAAAACAAACAAAACACCTAACCTCATTTTATTAACTAGCCGCGGTTATCTTGTTCTAAATTCCAGGCCATCGAGCAATTTAAAGTTAATTGCCAATATGCGAAAAAAACGCTTGGTGCATACGAAAAATATTTTGTGATCACGGCTAAAGTCTTAATCAGAGAATTTGTGCAATGGTGCATACGGGCATCAAAGTAGTTTTATAATACCCGCCCTAAGTCAGGCTTGAGCACTTCACCCCTGGGGTACGTTCAAGGACGGCAATGCTAATGCCAAAACCTACTTTTCCCCCTCTACCTGTAATGCCAAACCACGTAGGTTGGAGCCGAACTCGAACGCAAAATGCCAATTTTGGCATGGCTATAGCCATTCCTGAACGCAGCCCAGGTGCAACAAACACTTTTCGAAAGGAATAGGCGCGTAGCGCTCCGGAGCTGTTCCGTAGCTCCTCCTAGGTGTGAAAGGAATACAACTTTTGAGAAACCGGCATTATAGTAGTGTGTATTATCCTTGATATCGGCCACGTTTTCGGTAATCGCGGCCATATTGGTGTAGCACCATTGATGATGTCATTAACGATTCGTCAGCTGTTTGCGCCAGCGGTCGTAGTTTAGAAATTTAGAATCCTATCTAATTTACCAAACAAAGAGGTAATAATACGAAAACTTTATTAGATAGAAAAAGACGCAGAACGCTTATTGCGCAAGACGAGGCAAAACGTACCAAATTATGTTAGACTTACGTATGGCAATCCGTTCCTATTATTTGCACGGGATAAAAAAGGAAGGAGGAAAACCGCGTGACGTGCAACCTATTTGTCAATCAAAAACACAAACAACTGAAAATCGATCACTTGTCAAGCTGTGTCAAGTTGAATATCAAGCATAATTTTATCCTTGTCAGACCACGGGTAATAAGCAAGGACAAGGAGATGCCCAGTGTGCAAAAGGATTACTTCACACCTGTAGTTAGCCAATAAAAATGCATTGCCTCGTGTTGCGCGCGCATACAGGTAAAAATAGATAGGTCTATAGGCAGAGGGGAAAATAATCCAAACAATATCTAACAAAGAGTTGTTTTAGGGCCGGCTTATCAATAGAGAGTTACCACTTGAGTTACGGGTAACCTTGGGTCAAAGTTGTGACAAGTGTTTATCCATCCAGATCCAGGGTCAACTGCTAGCTCGTTTTTCATATATATGTCGCCAGGCTTAATGTAAAATCAGTCTTATTATAATACGCCTAGGCTTTTTCAATACGACTAGGCATTTTGTAATACTATCCAAATACTTAAGAATTTCACAATAAGACTAGTAATTTCAGTCGCATTATAATACGCCTGATGCGTGTTAGTCTTATTATCAAAATGAACCTGCGTTAGAATCCGTCTAGATGAAATCCGTCGTATTATAATACGACTAATGGCGCACCAGGCGAATTGTATTGAATAAATCTTTTAATGCGCCTTTTGGCCGATATATTGTGCTGGACACTAACTTTCTTATTCTTTGTGCTAAATAGACATTAAAATTACCAAGGTTTAGGTATATATTAGGAAAATACTTCCCTGCTCCATTTTCCGTCCGTGGACGGGAAATGAGGACGGAAAAAATTTCCCGTCCTTATTTCCCGTCCTGGGACAGGTAATGGAGCAGGAAAATGAAAAGACAGAAATGTGACATTTTCAAATTTCTGAAAAGTCAGTAATGACCATCCTTGAGTAATGACAACATTTCATATATGGTTAAAAATAAACAATTCTATTTGTTCTAGAACAAATCGAGCATAGACTTGAATTCCGGACAAACCCATGACGTTGTTTATACATTTTTTGACTTGTTTCGTAGAGGAGTGTCGAAAAATAGGGTAGCACTGTACGACTTTGGTATGAATGAAAACATGGAAAACGCAAGTTTCAATGTGCTTCCTACTTTCTAGCAGCAAGTCGCACGTCGCATGCTACTTTCTTATGAATACCCACCTACGGAAATGGAA